AGATCTTAGAAGTGGTTTGTTTGGAATGATACACTCAGCATTGTTTGGTCACGTTTTCTGTCCAATGATTCCCAGAAAACAGCTGTGTGAACTCTGAACTATCTTTAGGTGAAAAATAAATCATGTAAGATGAAGCTAGAGGGGACAACATGACTGAAGAGACAATTATTCTTCATTAGCATAAATTCTGGCTCAGAACAGGAGGACAGCTTTGAAAAATGTTATATACTCCATAAGTGTGGAAACTGCCCCGGAACTACTTCAAATTTTGTAAGATTGCCAAGTCAAGCCAACACTCTCAAATGTGTTTTATATTCCTTCCTTCCTTCTTCCTCTGCGAATCACTTTTATGGGCTGCTACCTCCTACTTCCAATGACTACCCAAAGCCCCTTTTCTCCCCTTGCTAATTTAGCAATATACCAGGGATCTATATTAAAATGTCCTAAAGGGCAAGCAGTTTAAGAGAAATCAAGTGGTCATAACAAGTATCTAGTAGAAGTTTATAGGAAATAGGACCATTGTTGAATTAGAATTAGTACCTATAATCTTTGCTAGGAATAAAATTTTTATGAGAATAAGTTTTTCAAAAGCATCTGAAACTTCCACTTATAATCTAAAATTTCTGGGAAAATATTAGATCATTCTTCCAAATTGCTATAGGAATGAATATTCTGTAATTTCAGATCAGAACAGATCATACCAAATTTGGCATCCTGATCAGCTTCTTGGCAACAACAGAAAGCTGTTCTAACATCCCAACTTCAAACAATTTAAACTCAATAGAATCTTGCACTAAAAAAAATATAAAATCTTAAAATCCAAAATCCCACTGGAGATAAGGAAAAAAAAAAAAAAAAGGTGGAGTCTATGTATACATCTATGTATACATATTATTTGTTTATTTAATCTCATTTGTACACAGTGGTTGGGGTCCAAGTGGAACTGGAAAAGATTCAGATATACACAGTTGGATACATATGGTTCAGGATAAATGGTACATCTATGGTACAGGATAAAATGGTACAAGGTAACTCTTCTGTTCCCACAGGCTGAACAATTGCCTTTGAAATGTTTTATTTCACTTTGTCCAGGATGTTTTAGTGTTCTGAAGGACAGGATTCCTCGTTACAAATCCATTTTTCCATGGTGTCTGTCACCAGGGATTTTGAGCCCCTCCTGGTGATAGCTTTGTCAGCTATGAAAATAATTGGCTTTCCACACTTTTACAAACTATATGCTTTAGGAAGAGAGGGATATAAATTATTTTCTCAAGTTTATGCAGCTTGTCTGGAACGCAACAAAAACATTTAACCTCTAATTTTCTAAGTCCTGATAGAGCATGAATCAAAATAAACCCTTTCTTCACAAGGGAGATGAAGCTGAGTTTATAACCAGAAATATCAAACACCCGTTTCACCTCAACAGGACTAGGATTTACATATTCTGAAATAACAGAGCAAGTCCATATAGCATCAGTAGTAAGGTATGCCCTGGATATTTCTAACACTTGCTACATGAAATTCAGTGAAGAGTATAAATATAGGGAGAAATAAGTCACAATCTCTTTGTCTTTACTACAATAGCTGGAGTCCTCTGTGTATTGCACATGTGCTGCCTTGAACTTCCAGGTGGCATTATATTTAAAAGTGTCCCCACTGTATTTTATTTGCTGAGTGTGCAGCATCTTTCTTCTTCCATACTATTTATTAAGTATCTGGAAAAATAAGCATATTGCATTAAACTAAGACAACTACTTGGATTTAATACAAAAAACAAAACAAAACAAAACACAAAAACAACTACAGAAACACCTGTAATACTCTAACCATTCAACTGTGTCAGAGGACATGTCAGAATCTGTAGTTGCCAGGAAAATAATTTTCTAAAGAAAAACACACAAACTTGAAAGGACTAAGCAACAGCTGCTACTAACCACATTGAAATTAATTTTGCAGTGACATAATCACATAAATCAGGGATTTTTCTTTATTGATTCACAGTTAACACTCTCTTCACAATCCTCTCAAACAGAACCAATGCAAAGATGTTCTACAAAATTGTCATGCCATTTCAACTTCAAATGCAAAGAAAAAATGAAACTCCACTATTCACTGGAGCCACTGAATCCATACAAAACTTTATCCAGCCCATATTTTGTCTCCCATAGCAACACATTGAGAAATCTGGAATAAATCATTGCACCTGTAAAGTAAACTGTACACATTTTAGTCACAATTTTTTTTTATTCTGCAGAGAGTTTAAGTTTCCATTTTTGCAGTTTGACCCTTCCAAATGTTTCTGGAGGAAAGGCTCAAATATAGAAACAGATGTCTAACAAAGTCTTGAGTTTTACTGAAGCTAGAAGTCTGAGGAAGACTTTGCAGTGGCCAGTCTTGGAAGGTCAATCTCAGGCTGAAAGCTGTATTTTCATTATTTTCTAGTAAGTAGCTCTTTGCAATCATGCAACTTCTTTATGAAAACCATTGTGTTGAGCATACAATATGAAGCTACAGCTTCTCAAATTCCATCATGTAGCAGCCAGTGCTGTATAGTCATTTAATTTCTTGGCATGGTGCTAATACATACATATCTGATTACAAAAGAACACTGTTACAGTGCACTCAAGCTGTGCTTTCCCCATTCCCAGTGACTCCTGTGACTGCGATCAGGTTAAGTGTGGTCCCCTCCTTCCTGCTCTGATGGGGCTGGCGGAGAGCCAGAAATCCCTCCCTGTCCAGAGCCTGGATAAGGCCATGACACTTCTGTTCGCTCTCTTTTCCCCCTCATCTCATAGTTTAAACAAGCTTAGAGAAACACAGCAAGGAATTAGAGCCTTTTTTGTATCTTTACCCATCTCCTGACGTGCCTTCCCTCAAGGCCCCGTATATCTGGGCTGGCCTGGTGATTTGGGGGGCTGAGAGGGGATAGACAAGTCAGAACACCACAGTATTAAGTAACTTGAAATATTTAGCTGGAGGAACTTTTTTAAGCCTCATGCTATTACAACAGACAATCTGACTGAGAACCAGAAGCACAACCATAACAATATTTTTTTGGGATCATGGGTGCTTTGATCAGTCAGGAGGAACTTGAGATTTTTTTTCAAGTTGTAGAGAATCACTGTTAGGAACTATTGCAACTAAATGGAAAACATATTCTGCTTTACTGACTATTACTGAATCACTCAGGTGGTTCTGCCTACAGATTCAGGTTCTGTAAGTCCCTCTGGCATGATCAGAGTCAAAGGCACTGTAGATGACTAAAAACTCGATCTAGACATAGGAACCCAGATTTCCAAAAGCACTTAAAATGGTGTTCCCACAGAAACCAGCAGTAGCCAGCCATATGCATTGACAGTACTGCTCCTTTTTTCTCCTTAGAATTCACCACTGAGAAACTTTAAAACATGGCAGATAATCTCTCAAAATATTACTAAACTGCAACTTGGCTATGAAAAGCTACAAAACATTCAGGTAAATTTTTCACACAACTGACATAATTTGATTGTGCTGTATTTTTAAACATTGTGATGATAACTACTTAAATGTTTAGGGGAGAAAAAGCTCAGATTGGCTGAATTATATATATGTTGTGATTCCTACTCACTAGGAAAAGGAAAATTCACTCTGGGGTGAGGGGTGGTGGTGTTTTGTTCTCCATTTTGATTGTTGATAAGACAAACAGATGCACAGTATACCAGATTGATATTTAAGTGGAGCTGTAAGACATTCTGAAACATTGGTCATGCATCTTACAGCATATAATGAGATACCACTTTGCAAAGCAATGTAAAACACTGTAATTTCACTTTATAATTTCACTGGGATTTTACTTTATAGGAAAGGCCTTATCTACTCAGAGATCAGTGATTAGCAAACTGAAATTGCAGCAGGCTGGATGCTGCATGGCACATGCACACTGTGCTACCTGGAACCACTGTCAGGGCACATTAATGACCTTCCTAAGGTAACACAATACAGTCAGCACAGCATAAATTTGTAACTAATACCAACTACTACCTTCAAGAATGGTATAGAGCAATGAGCAAGAACATGTTTGTATCTAGATGGAGTCTGTTAGTTCCCATGCAGACACATCTTTAATGTTTGTAAACACTTCAGTAATGCTATAGGAGACTTTTTTATCACAAAAAGCTATTATCCCACTTTCAGACAAGGCTTTCTTTAGAAATAGCAGTAAAATATTAAATGCTGTGCTCCATCTGCAGAAGTAGAATGAAGGAGCAAGCAGCATAACCTTTCTGAAAGCTTTGACAAGTACTTTGAAGGCAAGACTAAGAACATTTGCTATTTCCCTTGACTTGAAATCTTGCTTCAGCAGATCACATACTTTTTCTGTTAGATTTCTCAACTCGTAAAATACCTGCATCTGTCTCTGGTAGCTACTGGCGTTCTGCAATTAGAGGAAAATCTAACATGGATAAAACCAAAAGCATGACTTATAATTATGTTTTGGAGGCTAGAGCTCTTAAAATAATTTAGAAACTTGGGACAGTTTTTTTTAAATAGCTGGTAAGACTCGGTTTTTAAACAGCCAAAAGCTTTACAGTTTTGATTTACTGGTTATTCTGTCTTTTCCAACAACTCGTCCTACTTTTTTCGCACATATTCAAAACTCTCCTTGGAAAATAAAATAAAGGTCATCTTCACCACTAAATTTTAAACTTTTGTCCTATACTTCCATTTTCTGGTCTTAATTAAAAAACCCACTTAGCAGACTTACACATCTATCTCCAGTGCCAAAAAAACTATAAATACAAGCCCTTCCTGCAATTTTATCGGTTTTTTCATGACTTGACTGTCAGAAAAAGTTCAAAGAGCAGAAACTTAACAAGAAAAGCTGGCGTTATCAAAACATTGGGAGTTTTCCATCAGCACTTCGCTTCTGGGCCGTTATCTGATTTCCGACAGAAATCCCTCGGCCGTCCCAAGTCTCTCCCCTTCCGCGTACAGCTGTGTCCCCGCGGCTGACGGGGAGCGCGGCTCAGCGCGCCTCAGCCGCAGAGCTCCGGGATCTGCAGCACCGCCGAGCTCCGAGCCGGGCCCGGGGCTGCGGAGCCGCCGAGCCCCGCCCGCGCCGCCATGCCGGTGGGCGACGGGAGGGGGGCGGCAGCGCGGGCAGGGCCTCCGCCGCGGGAGACTGACGGGGCTTCTCTTGCAGAGCTTCCTCAAGTGGCTGCTGGGGTTCCTGGCGGTCGCCGTGGTTGTCGTGGCCATCACCGTGCCCCTGGTGCTGCTCACCCGCCGTAAGTGCGCGGGGAGGGTGGCGGGGGCTCGCTGCGAAAAGTTGTGCGGAAAGTTTGTGCTCGCAGGGCTGCAGCTGCTGGGTCCTGGGAATTGGGAGGTACGGCCGTCTCACCAGAGAGGGTGGGGGGACATTTAAAAAGTCTCTTAATTTTCTTGTTTGCGTTGATAATAATTAGAAGCGTTGTCGTTTTCACCATCTTCTGTTCTTACTGTCGGCAAAGGCTCTTGAGCCAGCAGTAAACTGCCAATTTCTCATTTTTCTAGAGTGTATTGAAGGGGAAAGATTATATTCCCTCTCGTTTGCTTTGTTTGCACAACTTTTGTTAACACCGTTGGGTGAAATTATATAAACAGCACAGTTACAGAGGTCAGAAAAGCACAGAAAGATTCGCAATGTGTTTTTGGACTCTGACCAGTTAGCACTTTCCAGGTCGCCCTTGTAGCTCTTGATGTTAATGTGAAACAGCTTTAAATCCTGGTCAAGCAATGCATTGCTTTCAGCTGCTCTCGTTTTGTGTTCTTATGATTAACAGCTGAGCAGCCCTGGCATGTACAGCCAGCACAGCACAATCTAACCCAGGGTTTCCCAGGCTAGACCTAGGTCGGAGAAGTGCACCCCAAGAAAAAGTGAAGATGTGTAAGAGGATCTTAACAATATGTTCAGAAATATTTTTTTGGGTGCACAGAGTTCTGGGGGGATTTTGTTGTGTTAGTTAAAGAGGCAGCACTTGTGTCACTGGTGCTCATGTGGTATAATTGACATTAAACTGTTCTGCAGTTCAGCTCTATTAATATTAATGTCAATATCACAGTCATTCAGAACTGGATTTCAAAGTCCAGATATCTGAGTTACATGCCTTCTAGGCTGAAACTTCTATCAGTGGATGTTGAGTCTATTTTCTCTTATTTTTGGGCAGCTTTTTGCCACTTATCTCAAAAAAGCAGATTTTTGAGGTGACAAAAAATACTCTGAATTTCACAAGTGGGGAAAAGCAAGAGAAAGGGTCTTGATAACTTATCAGATGGATGTGTTCAGGCGTAACACCTAGTGAAAGAATTCAGTATGCAGGCCTGAACTCTGCTGAAGAGTTCATACTTGTCTATCTTGATGCCAGTGCTATGTCTTACTGTAAATAAAGTGGGTTTTCTTCTTTCATGAATTGTAGCATAAGAGCTCTTTTGCTCTAGAAGTGGCTGCAATTCAAGATCAGTCATTCAGTTACATAGTAAATTCATTTTACTTCAAAGAGGCATTTCTGTTCTACGACAAACAGAATACCAGTATGCTGTCAGCCTTGGCTTGTGTCCTTTGGTTGTAAAAGAGTTGAACAGTGTGTCAGACTTCCTACTGTTGGTTCAAAATAAGGCATAGAGAACACATCCAGGTAGTTCATTAAGTCCCTCTGGGTAAAATAAAGATTGAGATGGAGTGGTCCAGTTCAAAAACTTGAATTCCTGTCTCTTCACAAATCAGGCCAGCAGTAACATCTGAACCACTGTGACCATTGTAGTTTGGGAACTGCAGAGTTCTTTGGAATTTTTGACTGAAGGGAGCTAAACAGATGTTTTCTGTTAGCTGAGAGTGTGCAGGTGGTGTACTCATCTATAGATGAGGGCAATTAATCATGACTTTGATTATATGGCTTTTATGAGCAGCCACAGGACATGAGTCAGCGAGGGATGCCTCTTGGGCCACGCAGGTGACTGAATACAAAATGAAAAGTGGTAAAACTGCTTTGGGAAGGAGCTGCTCATGTGACTATGTGAAATCAAAGTCTGCTCTGATAAAAATCTTTGTAATTGCAGTCAAATAGTTTTCATTTCATCCCAATGGTTCAAGCATTGTACAGGGAGCAAATATGACAGTTATTTATATAAACAGAAAATTTTGAGTTTGGAATTTCTTACCTTTGGTCTGCAGCTGTTTACCCTGCCATGCTTCTCAATGTACTTTCATTTCATAAGCTTAGTATTCATGCAGCACATAATTAGTTTGATGAATGGTCTTCAGTGCAGTGAAAGGTAGTGAAATTTTGCTCCTCCAGCAGAGTTCTGTCTTGTTGGCCGGCCTGTAGGCCTTGCACGGAGAACTTCTGCTTCTTTTCTTGCAGACACTTAGCATGGACAAATAGTGAAGACTTAAATTTGTGGAGTGGCTCCCTAATTTGACATTACCTGGAGGGTCTGCTACCAGAACTCTGTACAAAATTCTATATTTTATTTAGACCCATTGCCTATTTAGACGCTTCATTTTATATTTAATAACCACATGGGGCTATTTTCATCAAACAGTTTAATTTCAAAACAGTGTTGGGGCTTGTATTTGAAGTCTGTTGATCAAAGCATTTTTGTGCTTTGAGGAGCTATCCAACAGGTGACTACAGCAACAAGTTCTTACCCTTAACTCATGAGTATTTTATAAAAACATATTTGGTCTGTTTGTTCATGATTCACCAATTTGCTTACACTTCTCACAGTTTAGTTTTTTTTTCTTCTATAGCCTTCCATGCCAAAGGGAGATTGGAACATCCCATGTCTATATATACCTTTACTACTTCTCTAACTGCAGGTCTTGTTACAGCTGGGCAGGAACACCAGGAGTGGGAGGATGAGCAGCCAATGCTGGGAGCAGGAAGGAGACAGTGCAGTATTTACTATTATTCTGCTGCCATGAGCAAGTCATAGACAGCCTTAGAGTGAGGGTCCCATACAGCTGTCTGTCCACAAACCAGGTTTCTTCACTCACAGGTATAACTCTCCAAGGGTGAGATATTCACTAAATGAGAAGGGTCATCACCATCATGATTATATGGTGTTATGTGTGTGCTTTTGTGGTCTTTTGATAGAAATGTGCCTAGGAGAGGCTGGAAGAGCACAACAGGTCTTGTGGAAGTTAATGACCTTAAAGTGCCTGAGTGTTCTGTGTGAGTCTGAAAAGATAGGGAATGGACATGTTTTCCTGCTACATGTCCTTGACTTCTGTAACTGTCATTTAACTCAGTTATCTACCCTCATTCAAATGTTGAGTAATGTAATATAAAACCCCATTATCAACTGTAGCTTGCTATTATAGAACACTTCTGCTATTATTTCCTTGCTTTGCATGAGATGGGGTAAATTTGAAAGAGATTCCAGAGCTATGATTTACCATGTTAATGATTAAATCCCTCCAGGGAAGTCTCTGCAGCCCCATGGAGTGGCTTTTGGATCAACTGCTCCAGGAGGTGTCACAGCACTCACATTTGTCCTGTATCAGCTCCTGGGTATTGGGTAGAATTCTGAATTAAGTGAGCCTTTGGCCTGAGCAAGCAAAGTAGTTTTGTTTTTTTTTTGCTGGAAATCAGTGCTCTAACTGTCACATAGAAACTGGGGCCTGGAGTATACAGGAGGGGGGAAGACTTAGAGTACTCTTTTACATGTTGGAAGATAAATGGGGAAACAGCAGATTAGGAAAAACTAGCCTGGAATGTCTCTTACTTTTCTGACCAATGAATCAGCCAGGATTCACTTGCATCTCTCCCACTGCTCCTAAATTACATGCCTTGATTGCAGATAATTCTTGCTCTTCTGCCTTCACTTTAAAATGGCAATAACCATTCACCTTTCCTGATTTTTATAATTTCTCTATCCCTTTCCTGTTATTACTGAACATCATGCTTGCACTTGTCTTTCCTTTTATGTGGTTTTTCCTGTCTCTCTAAGTAGTGGTGAACATGCAGTAAAACTTCCAATATTACTGCTTTTATAGTTCATCATGGTTTAAAGTCCATTAATTTCTTGCCCCTTTTCTTTTTAAAGCACATGTGGAAATTAGGAAAATGTGCCTTGACACTGGGGAATAACCAATACGTACATCAAAAGTGATTTTTCAACATGGTTCCATTTTGGTATGGTGATATGCCATACCATAAACCTTACACAATTGTTAACTTCTTGTTTGCTTTACACCTGTCCTGGTTTTGGCTGGGAATCAGGTAATTTTCTCCTGGTAGCTAGTCCAGTGATCTGTTTTGGATTCATTATGAGAATAATGCTGCTAATGCACTGATGTTTTTTGGTTGTTGCTAAGTAGTGCTTGCTCTGGAGTCATGGACACCAGTTTCCCAGGCTCTGCCAGGAAACAGGTGCACAAGGAGCTGGGAGGGAGCATGGCCAGGACAGCTGACCTGATCTGGGCAAAGGAGTATTTCATAATGCATAATGTCATGATCACATAAACTGGGGGATTGGCTGCGAGGTGCTGATGGCTGCCTGGACAGGCTCGACATTGGTCAGTGGGTGGTGAGCAAATGTATTTTGCCTCAGTTGTCTTTCCTGGGTTTTATTCCTCTTGCTTTCCTTTACATTACAAATATCTTTACTGTTATTAGGAGTATTATACTTAATTTTATTTCAGTCATTAACTGTTCCTATCTCAACCTATGGGTTTATCTTTTCTTGGTTCTCCTCCCCGTCTCCACTGAGGGCAAGGGAGAAAGGAAGCTGGTGGTACTTAGTTGCCAGCTGGGGCTAAACAATGTCAACCCCTCACACCTACAGAAACCAAATCAATTTTTCTCTTTGGAGAGGGCGGCATATTAATGGGAAATTCCAAAATTCAAACAGAATTGTTTATCAACTTTGTATGAGTACTACTTATGTAAATAGTTAAAAGACTTCTTTGCAGAAGGACTTACGGTTTTACTGTTGTAACAGGGGTATTATGATGTAACTATTTCTAGTGTATCATTATGACAGTGGCAATACATATGTACTGTCAGGAGTCAGACCAGAGTAGAGATGAATCATAAAATCATTAAGATTGGGAAAAACCGCCAAGATCATCAAGTCCAACCTTTGACTGAACCACTTTATCAACTAAACCATAGCACATCATGTCATCTCTTAAACATTGGCAGGGATGGTGACTCCACTACTTTCCTGGGCACTCCTTTCTAATGCTTAACCACCCTTTCAGTGAAAAAACTCTTCCTCATGTCCAACCTGAACCTTCTCTGGCACAGCTTGAGGCTGTTTCCTCTGGTCCAGGAGGAAAATCTGCCTGTAAGAAGAGCCTGTCCCCCAGCTCCTCTCAGGTAGTTGTAGAAAGCAACATCATTTGCTTCCTCTTCTGAGCTTCCTCTTCTCCAGGCTGAACACTCCCAGCTCCCTCAGCCACCCCTCACAGGACTTCTACTCAAGACCCATCATTAGCTCCATTGCCCTTCTCTGGACATATTCCAGCACCTCCAGGTCTGTCTTGAATTGAGGGGCCCAGAACTGGACAGAGCACTGAAGGTGTGTCCTCACCTGTGCCAAGTACAAGGGGTCAGTCACAGCCCTGTTCCTGCTGGCCACACTATTCCAGATACAAGCCAGGATGCTGCTGGCCTTCTTGGCCACCTGGGCACACACTGCCTCGTGTTGAGCCTGGTGTTCACCAACACCCTCAGCTCCTTTTCTCCTGGGCAGCTTTCCAGCCGCTCTGCCCAGCCTGTGGCACCTCCTGTGGTTGTTGTAACCCCGGTGCGGGATCTGGCACATGCTGAACCCCGGGCAGTGGCCTCGGCCCATCAGCCCAGCCTGTCCATCCATCCCTCTGCAGAGCCCTCCTGCCCAGCTTGGTGTTGACTGCAAAATGAATGAGGATGAACTCAACCTCCTCATCCAAACCTTGGATAAAGATTATTAAACAGAGCTAGAAAAATAAATCTGTATGTGGAATTGTTGAAGAAGAAAAATAACAAGAAAATGCAGTCTCTCTGAGGAGCCTAAGAGTGAAAGCAGTGTTGCTAAAATAGAAACATCCATTGACCTGCATACCATCTTCAAAGCCAATAAAATGCTCTTGGATGTCAGGAATTACTTTATTCTGTCAAAATAACCCTGTTTGACCTTTCTTTTCAAATGGAATCTGAACAACAAGAACCAACATTTGGAATTTAATGTATGTTGAGTATCTTTGGTCGGTGGCACAAAGTGGATAAATAAGAATCTACTGGTAATAACCTACCTTGTAGATTAAGAAAATGCTTCAACTAGAACTTCTATGACTGTACCCTTACAGCTTGGCGTGTGTTTTCATATTCAGATACTATGTGGAAGGTGTTGACAGAAAATGAAATTTTAATTTTATACATAGCCAACAAATCTTAATAGTGGCCTGATTTTTAGTAATGAGACCTTAGCAAAATATGTATGTCACCAGGGAGAAAAACATTCATCAGTTTGGAAAAATCCCTAAACCTGTTCATCAGCCACCTGTCTTAAATTGCTTCTCCTTTTCCAAGAGAGAGATTGTTGCTTTCTGAAGCCCCTCTGATTGAAAATGACACTTTCTCGATTAGGAAGAAGTCATATTACCAACTAGACAACTGTGTATGAATATTAAATACCCACTTGTTCATAATCCATCAAATTAAATATTCAGTTAAATAAATAACCTGAGAAATTAATATTCTCACAGAAACTTCAAGAGCAATAAATCCAGCCTAGTAATTTTTTTAAGAGTCACATTTCAAACAGAACTGGGCAAGCATTTTTTTAACCTTTTCTGAGCATTTTAGACTAAAATCATTGTTTGTTACATCTCTTGCAGTGGTAGTTGTACAGTCTGTGCTGTATATATACAGTTATCTTATTGTTTGGAAATAAGAGTAAAGCTGTAATAGCTGATATAAATGTCTTCATGTGATGTTCCAGATGTCACAGGTATCCAGCCTGCAGAAAGAGAACATGCAAAAACTGTTGTGAGGTGTTTCTCTATATATGTGTGTTCCCAAGGACTTTGCTGTCTTTTTGTTCTTTGGCATAAGGAAAGAGAAGACAGTCTGTTTAAAAGTATCCAAAAGACTGGGGTGTCAGAATTGATAGGGGCAGGTTAGCACCTTGGTTGAACAGTCACCACATCTGTAGTTGAGTGTTTGTATGGGTTGCTTTTATTCTAGTCTTTTGATTTAGCCAGTTGATATGAAAATTCCTTTCCTTCTGGACCCTGTAGGTAAAAGGGTATATGCAGGTAGATGAAGGTAGATTTTAGGTTTCCATTTTTAAAAAAGGCAGGGAAGATGCAGGGAGAGAATTTCACACCTGAATTTAAAATCTGTAGTCTTTGTTTTCAGAGGAAAAAAATCACAAAGACTCACAGACTGAGTTGTTGTTGTTGTTATTACTTGTCATACTTTGGAAAAAGTAGCTTGTGCACTGCAGGCAGTAAGGAAGAAATACTCTACATAGAAGCCGGCTGCAGCTGAAACTGATGACCAAACTCATTTGCTTAATTAGAATTCAAAGTTTCACTTGGGCTTTTCAGACTAACCCAGTTACTTGGCTTTAATTTTCAAAAAATTAAAGTCAAAATTGTAATGCTAAAATAAACTTAAAGATGTCTTGGTGAAAATTGCATCAAGAGAGGCATAAATATTTAATCAATTATTTCATCATAATCTTATCAGAAAGTGTTTGTTATTTAGATATTTTTTATTAGCCCTTCCCTGAATATTTTACTGCTTCTCAGATTTTTAGGGTTTTTTATTTGAGGCATTTCTGAAATTTGATCTTAAGGATAAGCAAATAATTCACAATTGCAACTATTTGCAACTGGGGCTTTGCAGTGAACTTCCTAGAGTGAGCACGGGGAGAAAGGCACAAAGTTCACTTCTTTTCAGCTTTTAAGGAGTACACGTTTGCTGAGATAAGAGAACCAGAGTCAAAAAGGTATTTCTTTCACTGTCAAAAAGGTATTTTCATTTTTGAGTTTGTTGAGTGATTTTGCTGACGCTCCTTTATTTTATGCTTGCTGAATTTACCTTGCAATAAAGTTTTATTGCCTTCCCACTGCTGCTACTTTGGAGATGGTTAGCTAAAACACTTTAATAACCAGCAACAAAAATCCACTTAGTAGCCGGGTTAAGAAGCTGGGGTGGAAAAATTTGCAGCAAAGATCAGAATGTCTCTTCTGTCTGTTTCTTTCAGAAGAGACCTCTCCAGGAAAAACGTACACTCTACAGAATTACTTGAACAATGACTATAAGTACAAAACATATAATTTGGAGTGGATTTCAGGTAATTCTTTTATACATACAACTTGAATGTCAAGAAAATGTACTACCTTCAGCAATGTACCACCCGCCATCACCTTGTGCTGAGGTGACTACTGTATTCTGAACAAAAGTCAAATTATTTAATAGTGCCATTACAGAACGGTGCACAGCTCAAAGGGTTGATTCCTTGTTTCCCTGAGAAACATGCTCATGTTCATGGCAAGTTATATTCTTCCTACTGCTAAAAGAGCATACTTACTTCTGTGCTTTAGGGTAGAAGCATGTTACCCCCTGAGGTATGTCAGCTTGCAGGAGATGCAGGCTGCTTTTCCTTCTGAGCATGCCTAGTGCCCCAAGGGAAGGAGGTGCAAGGAGGTGGATGTTGCGGGCTCCATGACTACGTTTTGTGAACATTCATGTGCTCTAAGCCTCCTTTCATTATAGAATTGGGAAGCACAGCATTAACCACATTTTTGGGATTTATTTCCTGCTTAAAAGCACAAAGGGTAAATAGAAGTAACTGATGAGCATTTTACTTACCTTTTGTTGTCCTCTCTCTTGTGCTTCTAGGAAATAAGTATCTTCACAAAACAGATAATGGGGACATCCTGTGTATCAGTGCTGACGATGGAACATCCTCAGTAATCCTGGCAAACACAACATTAGTATGTTGACTTACATGTAATATATGCAGACATTGGGAAAGGTATTGGATTTCATATTTTGTTCTGCATAGTCTTTGGAATCAGTGTTTAATGTGTTTCTTTTTCCTTCCTTTGTTGACAGGATAAGTACCAGGCAAGCACTGTTATAGTGTCTCCTGACCAAAAGTTTGCTCTTCTGCAATACAGCTATACAAAGGTACAAGTGTACTTTACAACTGAGGATGAAACTGGAAAATAAAGGTTTGGGAACAGCTGAGAAGCTGAGAGAACATGAGGGAAATGCAGAAGGATGGATGAATGTGATGAATGTAAGGGAGCAGTCAAGCTGAGAAGCCAGGAGAAGAGACTTGTATTATCTGTGAGCTGGGCAGAGGAAAAAAAAGCATCTGGATAAAAAGTAGATGTAGAGTTATAGCAAGGAGAGGAAGGCTGGATGGTTTATCTGGGAAGACAATCTAGGAGAGTAGATAGGCATGGCTATCCCAGGAGTTGTGTGGGTAAGGAGAAGTGATGAGTAGATATGCTGGTATACATCTGCTTGTATATGTATACTATATATATATATATATATGTGGTTGTTACATTGTGGTGGTAGGAGGTAAGAGTTTAAAACTGAGGTGAATGAAAATCTGCATGTGCTTCAAAGAAGGCTTGTGCTTGGAGTGGGCTTGTGTGTCCCTGTTGCCTCCTGTCAGTGAGCACATGGGAAGCCTGCAGCAGAATTCCTCATCCTGGCATGGTGCTGAGCCGTGCAACCAAGGTCAACCCACATTTGTGCCAGGTGGCATGAAAACCTGGCTCTGTGTGCCAATTGAGAAGCCTAATGGTGGTGATCATTTGCTGTGCAGTTTGTGCACTGAGAAACCACTAACGTTGTTGTTCTTTCCTTTTTTTTAGAAAGGTGGCTGTTCTGTTTGTAAAAAGTTCAGTGCTAACTTGTGCAGTGTACAAATACTTGAGCACTGTGTCACTGAGCACTGTCTGCATGTCCTGGCATTGCTGTCCCAGAGCAGTTCTTGCACTGTGTCAGGCACAGTCTGTGCACTCAGTCATCAATTTTTTCAATTTTAGCTTCCATGCTGGGTCCTCCTAAGCCAGTTAGCTTTCATTTTTCTGAATTGTTCAGAATTATTTAATTCTTCACTACATCATTAGAGGCCACAAAATGTCTAGTATTTTACCAGCCACCCTACACATCCCCTCTACTTGTAATTTATTGCTCGGTAGTATTTTATTTGTTGCATTCATAAGAGTTAATTTTGTTTTAATGCTGAAGCAAGATATTTTAACCTTTATATAACAGTGTGATTGAAAGTTCTGTTATTATTAATCTTTATTGCAAAGAAAGAGAGTAACAAAATGAATCATGAGGATGTAGACACTTGTTATGTAATTGCCATCTGTCTGTGTAGTACTAAGTTGTTGGTTTACATCTTCATACAAATACCCAAGAACCCTCTTAGAAGGGAGCATTATTGCAACATGTCAGTGCTGTGGGCTAAATCAAACCTCTCCAGCCCCACAAAGTGAGCATGTTTGAATGTCTGTGCATTATCATCATCACCTTTCTCTTCATTAAGTGCCCACAGAGCAATACAGATTTCAAGAGGCAGATTTCTCAGAGAAGGGTTTTATTTCTGTGACAATATGAATGGGAATAGGTCACCCTGGTACTGGAGGAACTGCTGCAGACGTACTGCTGGGACTTGTGAGAGCTGCTATAACATAAGATGCCAAGTTAAATAATACAACATGAAAAATGAGACAGAAAACAGCAAATGAGCCAGTAAAGCACAAGGAGGAGGATTAACTGCCCACTGATGATAGTCTGCTATGTAGCTACACGGATTTCTGAAAATCTGCAGCGTCTTTGGCGTCTGTATCTCTGTCCTTAATCAGTCAGTGGCCTCAGTCATAGTATTTAAGTGATGACCCCAGAGGAGTGGAAATTCTTTAGTCTTTCCTTAAACCTAGTAGAGATCTGTTACCCTTGTATGTTCATTGTGTTTTCTCTAGCTTAATAAAAATCACAAGGAGAGCTTTAGGGGTAATTCAAGCTGCAAGAGATGTGAAACCTGGTGAAATTTATTTTATTACTATTAAAATAATTTTTTTGCAGTTGTGGAGGCATTCCTTTACAGCTTCATATCACATCTATAATTTCAGTAGCAGGTCAGTAATTTTTGCACATAAAATGTTGTTTTAACATTCATTTTGTATTGAAACGTCATTTCACTGATTTCTCTTGGCTGCATTTTGGTTTTGTTTTTCCAGTTCTATCTTAGATGATGGACTACTACCTAATGATACACAGTATATATCCTGGTCACCTGTTGGTCACAAACTGGTTAGTAAAGAAAAATGAAACTTATATAAATAGTCATTTACATACACATGACATGGAAACTCATGTTGTCTGTACCCTTGAGGTTTTGGGACTTTCCTACTGCTAGGTAAAGTAGCTGAACTAGTTTCAAAATTGACTACTGCAGCTGGAAAGACTCCAGAGTTCCTCTGTGTGTTTTGTTATGTTTTTTAAGAAAAATGCATTCCTGAAAGTCAGTAGTGGCCCCAGCAGCCATGAAATGCACAAATGCACAGGAACTTTGTGTTTTTACAATTGCAGACAGTAGCTCATCCCTTTCAAAGACAGCAGCATTACAACTGTCTGTTTAATCATCATTGTGTGATTTTTGTCTCCTAATTACACAATAGTTGATGAAGTTTTACTTGATGGATGCATGTAGTGGGATTTGAGGATTAAAATCTGTTTTGTACTCTTTCCCACTGTTGTTTTCTTCCTCCCCTCCGGTCCATGTCAGTGGTGCCAAGCACCACATTTGCAAGGCTTGTGCCTTCCTTGTGTGAGCGTTAGTCTGCCACAGGAGAATGTGGTGTTCATTTATTGTTATTGCCTAGTGAATTTATATGTCAATTATAAAGACCAGCAACAGAAGCAAAGCAAGTGGAAAAGAGTTTCTGCATCTTGGGGCAAAGCTCTGGAATAAATCTCTGTTGTTCAGTTATTGGAGATGAAAACCAGTGGTGGTTAGAGAGGCAGGCAGGTGCCAAAAATTAGAGTTCTGAGTGCTGCTGAAGAAATGTACTATCTTTAAAGGTCTGTTGGCAGCACTGAGGCCCCAGTGAATGTTTGGTTTAGCAAAGCCCTGATAGTTTTCTTTCAAAGACAAGTTGGTGGAAAAAAACTGCTGATGAAGGAAAATAAGTTTGTATTAGGGAGAAAATGGAATTGCAAGATTTTCAAAACCCTATAGGATAGTCATGTCATATTTCATATTTTATTTGGTTTTTTGCATCTAGGCCTGAAGTTATGGTGCTCACCCTGATCTGTGCTAGTATTTTATTAGTAATACCAAGTTTGTTAAGTATCAAGGTTGTTAGGTGAAATGCAATTTTTAAAGATGTTTTTTGTCATCTCTTGTAAATTGCCCAGAAGATGAAATAAAGAAAGGAGGTAGGATTTACTGTAATAGTAATTGTTACCACAATGATGTTTTGCAGGCATATGTTTGGAATAATAATGTTTATGTAAAAGCTTCACCAACAGCAGAAGCTGTGCAAATCACTCAAAATGGAGAAGAAAACAAAATTTTCAATGGAATACCAGACTGGGTTTATGAAGGTAACTACATCAAGCAAGTTTTACTTTCCATTATTATGTGAAAACTTTGGTTTATTGTAATTATTATCTCATTCCTTACCACTGAAAAATTCAAATTAATCAAACTCTGTATTTTAGAAGAAACATGCATCCTTATCTGGGCTTCATACCTGGCTAGTGTGAGGATCTAAGAATATATATGAGTTTGCCTAGTTTGCATTGTGTCACTGGAAATTTTAGTGTGAATTAGTTTCACATGATAGATTATAAATATTGATCTAATGTCTTATTTCAGAACCCCAACAGTCTGCATTTTAATATCTGAACTTAAATTTAAAAAATGCTATTAAAAACTAATGAGACTAGCACCTAGGGTAGAAGACCCAACCTATCAATTATAACTTAAATACATTTGCATCTCTTTCAGAGGAAATGTTTGGCACCCATTCTGCTCTGTGGTGGTCTCCAAATGGCAATTTTTTGGCATATGCATCCTTTAATGATAAAGAAGTTCCTGTTATAGAGTACTCCTTTTATTCTGAAGACACCTTGCAGTATCCAAAGACCATTAAAATCCCATATCCCAAGGTCTGTGTTATTTATTAAACATGTTTGTTCTGCAGTTTCATTAAGAGAGTAGTCTCATTTAATCAGTTCCTGCTAATGAAAATATTGTCTGTCTCTCCTCAACAGCTTGCTGTGATTACTCTTTCTGAAGTCAACAGCATCTGGCAATGTTAAAGTATTTTATTATCTCCAGGGGAAAGGAAAAAGAGGGGGAAAAAAGTATGATTTAAGGTTTTGTTGTTTCACTATAAAATTTAGAGGTAGTGAGTACGTGTTGAGGTAAAAAAGCTCTCAGGGAGCTAAGTTGGTACAAAGCATTAGGCAGATATACATTAGGTTAGGGTTGTGCATGGTATTGATAATGGAATCTTCTTCAGCTAATACAGCATTTTCAGTTTCCTGTATTGAGAGGAAGAGGAGGAATCTGCTCAGGAGTTTCTTTGCCAAAACTTGAAGCTATTCCAATTTTAGCTGTAAGAGTGAAAGCTTAAGTGCAAGGTGCTCCTCCTTCCCCCTCCTCTCCATGTGACCTAATGCCCACTGCTGGCACAGTTGGCACTGGGCTGAATGGGGTGGGAGTCAGAGTGCTCTAGTGGGTTCCTCCATGTGCTCCATGTGGAGAGGGTTTCGTGTTTAATACAAGACTTACCTGTTATTTGATGTTACTCATATTTTAATTTATCTGAGCAATGCACTTAAGACATAAAGCAGGTACAAATTACACTTAGAGTACAACAATTGCAACACCCTGCTGAGTGTCAATACAAACGTGTTCTCATAGCTCCATAGACACTCACCATCACAGTGCTGGGCATCCCCATTGCTGAGAAGGAATAGATGGGTTGAAATCATCTCAAGTCCATCATTTTAGTTCTTTCTGTTCACCCCTGGGTTTTTGTACTCTGTGTTGGATTAAGGCATCAACATGCCCCACCCCAATCCAGAATGGTCTGGCCATCCCAGGGAGATACTTTCACTCTTGATTAATTGGGCAAGACAGATGATACAGCCAGTTTATTGCTCATCTGGAATGGCTGCCTGGTGGAAAAATTGCCCTCGTTATGCCAAGCTCAGGTTTCTCTGCAGCAGCTGTGGTCACTCCCTACCCTTCCCAAAGGTCCTGGAGCACGTGGCTTTGCCTGTGCCCTTGGAGCCTCCCCAGAGGCATCACTGACAGCTCTGTCCTGAGCATGGCCCCTGAGAAGAGACACAGATGTAGAATGAATTGCCAATCTAAATTACAGATTTTATTACAAGCCCCTTTTGTTTGGAATATTGCTGACTTCTGGAGGGTGGATCAAGTGTAGCTGCCGAACTGTTACCATGAGGACTTGGCTGGTTACTACAAGAGAAACAGCCCCTCCTGACACAGCTCTTTGCTGTCAGCAGCATTGCATTAGAGACAGTGCAGTGCTGCCGTCACAGCTTTGATCGGGATGTAGGCAGCTGTGATATGATCAGTTCATTTAAGGTGCTGCTTCCACGGAGAAGCATTTTCCTGTGTGTTAGCAAGGGATTTGATTATCTCTAGGGACTGTGCGTGGTATGTAGGACGAGATCTGGTCAAATACAGCAAGCCCTGTGATTGGTTCTAAATGTAGTAGTCCTTCTTACCTAGGAACACATAACACTTCTGGGTGAAAAATACAAAGGATAATTTATGTATCAGTCATAAAACTGCATTTAGGAATTTGTCTTTTCACATGTTTGCAGTTGGTTGGTTTTACCTTTCTGTCTGTAGTAACTTACTCATCTATAATTTCAAACACTTCACAAAGAATATTCTCTCTTCAAAAGTACAATGAAAAATTTTATTTTTAGGCAGGAGCTCCAAATCCAACTGTACAATTCTTTATCGTGGATACCACATCACTTCCAGCTTCCAGCCCTGTTGAAATTGTTCCACCTGCAGAAATAGAATCAAGGTGAGAAATTTTGATTAAATTTTGATTAAATATTTGATTGTTTCTTTTGATGGGAGAGATGGAGCTTTTATATGCAACCTCCCTGTATTCAGTGTATATGGCAGTTTTTCCCTGTAATGTGGCTCTGGTAGCAACAAGATTTACCAGAGAAAATCTGCACAGAGATTATCCTCCTAGTGATTATATATAGATGGCATATTCCATGTATGTTATATTCAGAATGTGACAAGTTCTTGGCTCATCACATTCAGTGGAGTCTAACTATGGTGAAGTCATTTCACAGTACAACTTTAATATGAGCAAGTTTTCGTATAATCAAATTATAATATATGTATTTCTATTCACTGGAGAAAAAAAAACCCAACAAAACAAAACCTTAATGGTAAGTGAAGATTTGATTTCATTGGAAGCAGACTCCTTGCTAAGGCAAGGTATCATGGTTGTCTTCAGATTTATACTTAAAATGTTTGTTTTCTTTGGGAAGATGGTGAAAATCAGCACCTCTCAGAGTAAATGGAAAATTGTATTCCTCAAAATGCCACTGGAAATGCACAACATGATATAAATGTATTTTGTAAAGAGCAGCTACATCAATTTAAAGTGCATGCACACAATTTGGTATCCCAAATCTTGGGTTTTGTTTTTTTCTTTTTAACAGTATTGTGGAAATGTTTTAGAGGTTTGCACTTACAAACATGATGGGTATGAAAGCACAGGTTATACTGATATACCAGAAAAAAACAAAGGTCTGTTAGCTTATGCATAAAACCAGCATTTTATAGGTGGGGGCCAAAAAGCTATAACTGGAAAATCAGCACTCTTCCATTTCAGCCTCACCACAGTGTAACATCCATGTGTTAACAGAGATGCAAGTTCTTATGAATATGTTATTCTTTATCCTTCCCTTACAATCACACTGCAATAGCTGCATGTTCGATAGCTGTTTTGCCTTGTTTTCCTCCAGAATTCCAGTGCCTCTGAATTAAAAACCCTTTACATTCTGCTCAGTACTGATTAAGATCTTTGCTGCCTTAGAGGTTTTTTTTTACCTTTTGTAAATACCTTAAGGAAGTTGATATGAGCAGAATAACCATCAACTTCCTTCCAGGCTTACACCCATCTGGCTAACAGAGGTGTGCGTTACATGGAGTTCATCCATTCTTAAATTGATTTGCCGCCCAGTCAGGATTAATACAAATATAAATCTTGAACGATGAATTCAAGGATCAAAATTCACTCTTTTTCCCAATGGCTAATCCAAATAATGGTCAAGTCTCACCATGTGTCCTGCAAAAGTTGAGGTGGCCAGAATGAGTCTTGGGGAAGTTTGCAAGAGCAAAGGTACATGAGTAGGAAAAGGTGAGCAATGTGCAGTGTTGCTGTTGGGTAGGCTTTTTTTCTGGAAGTGCAAAGTATTGAATATTTACATTGTATTTGTATGTACACCGCTGTATGACAAGAAAGGTTAGTTTTTGTGATGGAAAATTCTATTTTTACTTCCACTGACCTAAATTTTGAGCAAAACTGAGTTTGAGCTGGTGGCATACCTCACTCCACCTGCCTAGTTGGGGATGTTGAGGGGCAGTGCCTCCTCAAATGGTTGCCTGCTACAGCACTCTCCAAAGCTTGGATGAGCATCAATTTTACCCCTACATGTGAAGGGGGCACAGCTCACTTATGTTGCAGAGGAAGAGTTTTATTTGTCAAGAAAAACTGCCAGAATCTGGAATGGCAGTGCTTTGCCATATGATGGTACTTGAAACCTGACACTCTGCTTGAATGGCCAGCATGAAATCTATCCAGCATTTAAACACTGGTTTTGGCACCATGGATACAGGGGGCTCCTGTTAGCCAGCAGGAGGATGAAGGGAATGGATCCTTCTTGTCTGAAATTATCTGTCCTTGAATAAGCTGACTTCTGAGTAGAGTAGTTGCAGGGTATCCCATTTCAGCAGCAAATGAGGAAGGGCAGTGCAAAACTACTGTACTTTATACTTGAGTTAATTGCAGCTTAGTTAACCTTTTATGTTTTGTTGAGTGCTGAAGGTGCATTCCCATTCTCACAGGGGAGATATTTATTGTAATAGCTTGATAAATAATATTTGTTTTGTTTCTTTTCCTTGTAATGTTCATCTTGTCTGATTAATAATTTATAGTCACCAGAATTGTTAACGACTCTCACTTTCAAGGAATGAAAAGTGTGGGACTAATTCCCCTTATACAAAACAAGGGAAACCACTATTATAAGTACAAGAAGAATGGGTTTTTTTGTTGGGTTTTTTTTTTTTTTTCCACAAAACTGCTCCTGCAGACTCAATGACAGTAGCAATTAAATGACCTGCTGACATCCAGTCAAATATAAATGCAGAAATAGACCTTTTCCAGACATGAATTTGAAACGATAAGGTAGAAATAAATCTGAATGTTTTTTATGGCAACCTGACATATTTTTAATCCATCCACACTAATTGTAGTGTTTCCTTCCCCAAACTGCAGTGATCAGAAAGATACTCTTATTAAAAAACTTCCCACACATTTTTGTTAACTAACTTTGGGGGAAAAGGGAACATGAACTTGGAACTAAGTCAAATGTGCAAATTACGGTTAAAAATGTACACTTGCCTTGGAGGGGAAGTTTGTTTTATTTTAGTTCATAAGGCTTCAAGGAGATAGGAAAGATCTAAAATAAGAAAAGACAGTACATCTAACAGATTGTTATGGTAAACAAAGCCACTAAATTTTTATGTGGCGCATTTTTAAAATTAATATACAGAAATATTCATGAAAATGGGGTGGTTTTTTCTGATACTTCACCCCTCATGTCGGCTGGCTGGTCTTCTGAAGATGAAAGTAAAATATTAAAATAGTCATATCTGGTTCTGGTATGATCTCTCCCTCCACTATAACTAAAGAAATAACCACCAAATTGAACAAAAATATCTATCATTCAGAAAATAATTACAAGCAACCAACTTCAGGCAGCTAAGGATAAAATTGCTTAATCTAAGGCATATGCAACTTAGTATTCAGAAGAATTTCCTCTAGATGCACACAGTACAAGATTTATGAACAGCCTGGAGTAGCTATTATTTTATGCATTAGAGAATAGCTGTTAAAATTTAATTGCAGTCTTTCTGGAAGTGGGTTTGTATGAGCCATCTAATTCTTTATTGTATCTCTGAAAATAACCAAGGCATCTACTAGCAGTAAAAGCAATTGATGAAAAAATGGCTCAATTACATTTGCATCATTGTTTATTGTTGAAGAGTAGATTGAAATGAAAATAGCCAGATGAGTCTCATTCAGTGAATTGCTGAATGCAATTGTATGGTATGCTATTATAGAGAGGATTTTAAATATCTTATGTTGTTGCTGTTTTCAGTGATCATTATTTGAGTGTTGTAACATGGGTGACAGATGAAAGGATTTGTCTGCAATGGCTCAGAAGAATTCAGAATTTTTCAGTCCTCACAGTCTGTGACTTTGAAAATGCTACTTGGTCATGTCCAAAGGTAAGAGAAATTAGGAGGGAGAGTTGCAATGGTAGATGAAACTAGAAAGGAGTAGAGTGTATCTGTATGTTTATCTTTGTAGAAATAAAGCCTTATGTAAAATAAACATAATTGTTGTGGGATTGTTTGTTTTTCTTATTCTTAGGAAAAACAATTTACTGAAGAAAGTACAACTGGCTGGATTGGCAGAGTGAGTATTCAATTTCTAAAACTGCTAAATGCTAAATAATTCTGATAATTATGAAAATTTCATACAACCCTGTTGCATTTTGCAGTGCCTCTTGTGTGTAGGTCCAGTCCTCTCACTTGCTGTGTTTTACATGTACAGGAAAAAATTATCTCAAATGTCACTCCGTGCCTGGGATTAAGCTTAATTTTTTTTTGTGGGTAATGGGTTCTGAACTCCCAGGCTGGGCTGACAGTGCAGTATGGCTGGAGCTCTAATCATGCCCTCTGTGACCTGTGCATCTTGTTGACAGGACAAGAGGTTATGGCTTTAAATTGAAAGAGTAGGCTCAGATTAGGTGTTAGAAAGAAATTCTTCACTGGGATGGTGGTGAGGCACTGGAACAGGTTGTCCAGAAAAGCTGTGAATACTCCATCTCTGGGAGTGTTTCAGACCAAGCTGGATGGGGCTTTGAGCACCCTGGTCTAGTGAGAGGTGTCCCTTCCATGGCAGGGGGGTTGGAACAAGATGAACTTCAAGGTCCCTTCCAACCCACACCATTCTATGACTCTGATTTTATGTTCAGTTTACCAAAAGCACAGCACCTTTTCCAGCAGCTTCTGACCTGCTGCTTTGGTAGCAGTAGGTAGGGGGGAAATTCAGGAGCCTAGATTCAGAATTCCCTTTGTTCTGAGGAGTTGCCAGCTATTCTGGTTTACCTGCTTTCTAGTCTTCTACTACCTCCAGAAAGATCTAGGGAATAAAATATATTCAGAAGTGTATTCTGTAACCTTTGAATCATATTGGAGTAAAGGCTAGAGGACAAATGTAATTTTTAGTGTGTCAGGTTGCAACAAACCATTCCAGGTTTTAATTGGGGCTACTCATTTATTTTTCCCCTGCATGCAATATCCACTAAAGAGAAGTGGGGACAATATGAATGTAACTGGCCAGATTAAAATTTTCATGCACTTCTGCCAAGCCAGCCACTACTGTCTGGATGAGGCTTTCCAAGCTGCCTCTCAGTCCTTTTGTACATGGTAGGGAGTAGGCACCTAATGAACTACACAGAAGATCTGGGGGAAGTGAAGCAGAGATGCGAAAGTTCAGATTTGGAGGGAGAAATGAGTTTCAGAGTTTTTGATGAGAACACAGAGTACACTTTCCACTCCCGCATTTTCCACACACTGATTATGCTTTAGTCACTAATTCACTTTTGAAGTCAAAAATGAAAGTTTAAAGAAATGCAAAGAGGGAGGCAACAGCAGGGATGAAATCATCCGCAGTATGAAGATGAGAGATCAACCCACCTGCTGTCAAATTTGATATGGAAAGGAAGGCCTTAACGCTGACACATTTTGCTTCTCTGCAGCAAAGGCTTCACAATTAGACAATGTGATGATCAAGCTGCAGACTTTGTAAACAGTTGTGCAAAATGAGAGGGCAAAATGCAAGTCTGTGCCACTAAACTAGGTTGTTGGTTTTTTGTTTCTTTTAAAGAGACAACCCACTTCTTAGGAGCTGTTGGAAGAAATTATAATCTCACTGTATGGTTCTTGGATTTGAGAAAGAGCTAGAGAGGACTAAAGAGGGGATAGGATAGGTATATTTTTTTTTTTTTCCACCTTCTTAGGGATGATAAAATGATATTTGACTGATAAGGAATATCTTTATACATTTACAAGATGTATATATGCACATACTTATGTATAGAAAACTTTAAGTAAATTATCTATGTATGTAGAATACAGACATACAGTCCTCTCTTTGTAACTATAATGTTTTTATGGGTTTGGGGGAGAGGGCTTTTTAGGTTTTTTTGTTGGTGGATTTTGTTTGGAGTTTTTTGGTGGGGGGGGGGTTGTTTTGGTTTGGTTTGGTTGGTTTTTTTTTTTGAATAGGGGTGAAATCATGTTTAATTGAAGAATGCTGAGAAGAGCCTGCATTGCTGTATAAGGCTTCCAGGTCATCAGGTGTTAGAGCTTGCCAGTTAAGTTAAAGGGAAGTCACACTTTGGAAAATAAGGGAAAAGCTAGCAAAATATTTGCCAGATTACTTTTTGCAAAAATACTGCTTGGGAACAAGGAGAGGTTATTTGGAGCACACAGTTAGAATGACAATTTCTGTCATTGCTTTCTGAATGACCAGAGGCAAATCACTTCAGCTTTGTTTCACCATTTCAAGATGGGCATAACATCTCCAAGGCAGTTACATTGTGTCAGTTCCCTAATTGGCATTTAGATCCTTTGGGCATTTGTCACAGAAATAAGTTTTATTTCATTCAGCTCAATTTCATTCCTCTCTTTTTTCCTACCATATGTAGCACATTCAAATGGCAGTCAATAGAAGAAATTTATTCATTTCTGTCACTCTCAACTGATAAATGGATAATTACTTCATGAAAATATTATTCCAGTTTGATTTCTCTGTTATTCTGTAATCACCTACTTGCTAGCAAAATTTCCTCTTGGAAAGCAGCTTGTGTTCTTTTGAATAGAGCAGGACATTTTTTCTCTGTTAAGCTAAAAATGATATTGAGTTCAAAGAATTTGTTCGCAAATATGTGTTTCAAAATAGAAAATTCAAGAAAAATGTGAATTTGCCAAATTTACAATATTACCGGTTACAGCTGCATTGGATGGAATAACACAGTGCCTTTGAAAGAAGATGCATATATTGTTTCCTAAAATTGCAGAAAACTAAGACCACCAAAAGAACTTCACATTCTGTGGTGGGGAGGGACCTGGGGGGTGTGGATCACTGGTGGGACTAGTGCTCAGGAAATTCTGCTGCTTAAGGAGCAGGAAAATATTTAAAGTGTTCTACCTACTAAGTCAGAAGGCAAAAATGTTTGCAGTACATTCATTGATGCCTGGCTATAAGCACTGAGAGTCCTAGTTAGAGATATTAAAACCTAAATTTATCACTTAGGATCTGGAGTTTTGTTTTTTGCTTTAATAGACATCTCTCTTATGTTCAAGTTTCAGCCATCTGTCCCTCACTTTGCACCCGACAATTGTTCCTACTACAAAGTCTTCAGCGACACAGCAGGTTACAAGCACATCCATTACATAAATGGCTCACAGGTGAGCAATATTGTCTAGGACAGTCACTGCTGGCTTCTGTTCCTCCTGGGGATCAAGGAGTTTCATGTTCTACTTCTTGCCTTGCCTTTTCCCCTGCTCCAGGTTCCAGTAGCTATTACTTCAGGAAATTGGGAAGTAATCAGCATAGAAGCTGTAACCAATAAATTTTTGTAAGTATCTATAAATAAGGTACCTCTTCCTATCATAAGGGCTGGTAACAAGGGTCTAAGCAAGCACAGAGAGAGAAGTAGAAGGTTTTTAACTTATTAAAAATCTGATTTAAACATGTCAGATAAAATTTTTAAATATTGTACTGTAAATATTTTACTAAAACCAGTATGTTTTGCTTTTATAGATACTACATCAGTAACGAAAATAATAAAATGCCAGGAGGAAGAAATCTTTATAAGTAAGAAATTTTTTTCTGCAGTATGAATAAAATTTTTGTTAATGAAAAAAAAGAAGCTTTAAGAAGAATCACTGAAAACTTAAAGATTCGTATGTTCAGCCTAATGTGGGATCATCTTTAAGATATTTAATGAAAATCAGTGTAAGAGTATAAACTGCAAAAATAACCTAAATATTTTTCTATAAATTTAGTTAATAAAGGGAAATTGTGAGAAGAAACAACCAATCCTCAAGCAAAAAAAACCCTAAAAATAACCGTCATGCTTTTTTTCCTATTACTATAATTTCAGTATTAATTGAACTCAAAAGCTGAAACTGTTTTCTCTAGTTTTTGAATCAGTTTCTATCATTTCTGAATTTTAACATTTTTCATTTGGCCATCTTACTTAAAAAGCATATACTGGTTTAGCATAGCTTAAAAAAAAAATATCTCTGAGATAAAGCTCATTTCCTTTGCAGAGTGCTCTTGGAAAGCAGTCCAAAATTTACTAAATGTGTTAGCTGTAATCTGGATCAAGAAAGATGCCAGTATTATTCTGTGTCCTTCAGCAAAGACACGCAGTATTATCAGCTAAATTGTCTCGGTGAGTATATCCCGAATTAATTGACATAAACATGACTCACTGATTAGTTGGGTGGTGAAGTTCACTTCGTCAGGATCTTGATATGTACTGTGTAACAATGATATGTGTTGATAACATTGGATAAATGTATTGGCAGTGGGAAAACATACTGCCTCCTAGGCTCAAAAGTACCTTGACAAAAATTACTGGGATAAAACTTGTTAGTTCTATCTGTCAGTGGACCTGAAAGAGCTGCAAAACACTCCTGTCCACTGTGCATCTCCTTGAGAGATGTATGGGGAGCTCTGCCTACAGAGGGAATTCAGAGGCTCTGAAAGTGTGACAAGCAACAGACTGAGTAAAGAGCAGTGCTCTATGTATGAGAATAAAATTAAAATAGTGCTGGTCAAGAAAAAAAACCCGAGTAATGTAATCATGAGGTAAGTGGTGGGACTGTCTGTCTCTGACCTGTACATGCTCCTGCTACATAGTACAAGGGTTAAATTAATCAAAGGCTGGGAAAAATAAAATCGTCTCCAAATTACTTTAAATTGAAATGTATGCTGTTTTTTAACATGCCAAGATCTTCCTTAATCCATGGGCTAGAAGGACAGGCAGCAGGCGGAATTTTCTGTCAGATGGTAAAAATGGTCGAAGGCAGCTGCTGTGGTCCCTGTGACAAGGGTAACAAGGCTTCCTGATGGCCAAACCATTGTCCACAGCCGAGGCACAGGCTTTGCTAAAGAGGGGAAATTCTGTTCTTCAGTACCTCACAGTCGTGTGGTTCATCTCTGAGACAGTCTGAACATTTTGTGGGACCCTGTGGCTTGAATTTGGGCTGTGTTACAAGGACTGTGTTTCAAGCCAGCATGCAAACATGAAGGTTTTGTGCCCTGTTAACAGGTCCTGGCCTGCCCATATCTACCCTGCACAGAAGCACTGATGATGAAGGTATGGGATTGTGTTTAATTTATATTAAGCCAGAAAATTGCACTGTACATTTATTCTAATTTTCTTTTCATTGCATAGTATAATAATAAAAATGTCAGTTATAAAGGGTAAATTTAATTTCAAATAATTACCACAAGAATAAATTATAAAGCTTGGCATATATTTATTTAGATTTTATTTAACATTATTTTACACAGGGCTAGAATACAGTTGTGTATGACTTATTTACTGAATAATTGTTCAGTTTTTCTGAAACAGTATTTAGATGAAAAACAGGGAAAAAAGAACTGAAGGAAAACTATATTGTAAACATTCAATCTGAGAGGAAAAACAACTGCAGTAAACAAAAACTGAAATATAAGTTGTCATCATCTCAGTTTTAATATATAAAGTGGTTCATAATTAAAGAGTAGTGCATTTGAAAAAAAAATCTTTTTAGTTTTTGAATCTTACTTGCTCTGTTATTTAGTCCTCAGGTATTTGGAAAATAACACTGAACTGGAAAATTCATTGAAAGATATTCAGATGCCTTCAAAAAAATTTGGCTCCCTTAGTATAGGTGGATACAGTAAGTTCAAAAATGTCTTTTACCTTTCCCCTCCCACCCCCACCCTTTTCACCAAGTGGTTCAAGGTCTTCTGCTGAGGAGCATGACAGGACAGATGGGTGTAATGGGAATTCTTGCAGTTATTCAGAACTTAAAGGCAAGGTGGTTTTTTTTTTTGGACATTTCCTGACATTATTTTCTGAAATCCCAAAATGTTCTTATCTAAAATGCACTTTTCCTATAGTATGATATTGTCATGTTTTCATGATGAAATGGCTTAACTCCTTTCTCCTTTATAATACACTAGAAACCAGAAGTCTCTAACAGTGCATTAAATAAATAAGAGAAATGAGGTTGGGGCACAAACCCAAAGCTCTTTAACACTGCTGAATTTAAATTACATTATAAATTCAAGTAGGTCTTTCTGATTTACAGGTACAAGTCCCGTTAGTTTATGTTAGCAGGTTGGGAGAGTGGAGAAGTTCAGTTACTATGATAAAACAGACACAGTCTAAATGAAAAATCTTGAAAAAACATTTAAGCAACATTTAAACTCTATCACCTTTGACTTTGTATGGGGGGGGTGAATAGATTGAATAGTCATTCTTGAAACCACATTCATGCTCTGAGACTGCATAAACCCTAGTACAGACCAGAACAAAATGCTGGAAGGTGAACTGTTAATGCCTTGTGAGTGGTACCCCTCAGAATTTGGGTAGAGAAATGTTCTTGTGTGCTCTTAGGCTGAGCAGCATCAAAGAGCCCAGCAGTGGGAGGCCTGGTACCTGTCTGAACTGTACTTGCTCCAGCCTTTGCTACTAGCTTTTCTCTTCATGACAACTTCCTCCTGTTAAAATGAGCAGATATTCTTAATGGAATTCCATTTTACAAACTGTATTGTGTTAGGTCAGTCTTTGCTAACTGTTCTTTTTGATGCCTCCCTTCTTTCACTGCTACCTTATTTTTATAATAACTCTATCTTTGTGTTTTCTGTCTTTTATTTCTGTCACATTTTTACTAGGGTTAAAGATGAAATCTTCCAGGCAAGATGGAGATTTAAAGATGTTCTTCATGCTATCAGTTGTATATTCTTTTTTTTTTAAATTCCTCTTTGTTCTTACTACTTCATGTCTTCAGGGTAAAAGCTTTTGGGTAAGGGGAATCTATTTTTAATATCAAAAATAGGAGAAGCAAATCCATTTATGTAGTCCTACTTAAAGCTTCAAGTCTACTCACATATCCATGTAGGTTATTAGAGAAGAAATCCACCCCTGTGACTATAGAGTCTGCAAAATTTAAAATTACTATTTTAATTATGTTCAATTTATATTCTTTATGTTTCAGTGTTCTGATGCCTTGCATATTTGTATCTGGGCGAATTTCTGTAAGATTTGCATTCTGACTATTACTGCAGTGCAGTCCATCAGCATTGCAGCATCAGTTCACTTAAAATTCATAAGGGAACAATTGAGTCATTCAGTTTGCAAAACTTAAAGGGTGTGCCTTTAAAATGTTCAGCTCACAGCCAGCTTGGGTAGGACGAATAACATGAATGGAACTGGAATCAATATTGCTTCAAAAATAATAGATACTTGGATATGTTTCTGGCATGCTTTACAAACTGTCAAGCAAAGTCTATCTGGCAGGTTCAAAATAATATAGAATTTCTTTTCTCTGCTGGGAGAGAAATTTTATTTTTGAACCTGAGTTAGATTTACTACTGTAGAAGCACAACAAGTTTCACATATAAGCTTATAATGATGTCATGAAATGGCATGTTGAGTCCCCAGGTTTTATTATTTCTGTTAGTTTAATTGTAAAACATTTTAAAAATTACTAGCTAGGAACTTCTACATGTATATATTAAGACAGTCCAGTTGAAACTGCTCTATAATATTTAGGGGGTGGCTCAAATGTGGTCTTGTATGAATTGTAATGCATGTCAAGTAATTTCACTGGAGAGCTGACCTAAGTCAAACTCTTTTCACTTTTAGACCTGTGGTATCAAATGATTCTGCCTCCCAATTTTGATCAATCAAAGAAGCATCCTCTGCTCCTTGATGTGTAAGTTTTCAACCACATGGCAGTGTTGTGTTAATAATCACTTTCATCTACTTCAAATGTTCTTAATAAGGAAACACGAAACTTGAATGTTTTCTAATTACTTCTTGAAGTAGTTTTAAGATGGAATGAAAAATAGGGGTTTATCCCAATACATGGTGGATTCCTGTGCGCTAAGATGATGTAATGCTTAATGAGCACATGCTCTGGCACTGAGGCAGATACATTCTACAGCCAGGATGCTTGTGTTAGCTTACCTCTTTCTCTGCTTGTGACATTTCTTAGGCGTAATCCTTGATGAAATCACAATCCAAAATGAAACCTTGAATAAACCTTGTATTCTAAAGCTGAAGCAGTGTGTGTGATGTTGCACGTTTTCTGTGATATTTGAGTGTCATCAGTGTTGACCAACATTATCCTGTGGTCAGGATTGCATTTATTGTGTATTTTTTTCATAAATACAAGCCCATAAGCATGTGCTGATTGGTCTGGCCTTCCTCAGGCACTTCTGTTCATCCTGGTATGTTTTCTTCTAAAAGCAAATTATTGAATTTTAGCTATGCAATAATAGAAAAATGTTAAGTTACTCCTTTCTTTACAAAAAGGTGACTCTATGAGGAAAATGGCTGTTAGTTGTTAGGTATAGTTTTATATAATGCAATTTGGTAGCATTTTTTGATGTGCCATTGAACATTGAACATTTTAATTAACAGCCACTGCTCTTGGCTTCTTAAGCCAAGTTTAGTTATGATATGATTTTCATTGGCTTACCTGGACCTACAGAATTTTACCATCAAGGCACTCAGAGTATGTATCAAGTGATCAGGTGCTTCTGAAATATTTTAAAGTAACATGTTACAATGATAGTTTTGCTTCCTTTTTCTCAGCCTGCATAAGAAATAGTTCAGGCTGATGAGACATAGAAAATGGTATTTTTAATTTTTCCAGTTGAAGGCTATTCATTGAATTCAGACTTAAACCAAATAAATCATGGGTGAATGGAACAGAAATAGAGAACATCACTTTGAAACTCTGATAACTAGATATGCCAAAAAAAAAGAAAAATTGGTTTGGATTTCTGATAAGCTGCCTTAAGTCAAAATAATGAAAGTTTCTTTTTAGAGCAGAAAGAAGTAAAACAAACAAAAAATTATCCAGTCTGCTTTCTTGATTAACAGCTGAAGTTTCAAAAAAGCATATTGCTTTTAGTGGCACCTTGGAGTCAGTCAGTGATGCTTTTCTTGTTTCCTCAGTTTAATTTGAGAGTTTATCCTGTTTTAAAGGCCAAAATTGTCAGCGGTAATTACATTTCAAATGCTTGATGTGAGAATATGTGGAGAGCAAATGCCTGGATTTTGTGACATGATTCCCCTAGGTATGCAGGACCCTGTAGTCAGAAAGTGGACCAAGCCTTCCGGATCAGCTGGGCGACCTACCTGGCGAGCACGGAGCGCGTCATCGTGGCCAGCTTCGACGGCCGCGGCAGCGGCTACCAGGGCGATCGAATCATGCACGCAATAAACCGCAGGCTGGGAACATATGAAGTGGAAGATCAGATAGCAGCAGCCAGGTGAGCTACAGGGAAAGGTCAACACCTGCTCCTTCTTTTATGTGCTTACTGGGGGGAAAAAACGTGAAGTTTTCAAATCGTCATCTTGAAAATACTGGCAAAAAGGAACTACATTCTGCTTAATTTTGTACACTGAAGTGTGGCATTCGTATGCCAACCATCATTTTATGTTTAAAAAGAGAGGAGAGTTAATGCTGTAATACCAATTAACCATATCTCTGATTTTATGGAGATTATTTTATAGAGATGGTATGTGTCATATTAGTAGAAGAACACGCTACCAGGGAACTTGGAGATGGAGGTTTTACTTCAATCTTTTTGCAAGTTTCTGCTGTCACAGAATTATGAGAAATACTTGGCCTTTAAATCATAGTTCACATTTGTCACTTGGTTTATGCTTGTAGAACCTCACTAAAACAAACAATCCCAGTATAGGTCTCTCAGAATTGCAATGAAGTATGATCTTATAGGGTTTTTTATGTGTGATTTTCAAATGTTAAGGAGTTTAAACAAATAGAATTTCACCATCTTTTTGATTTTTTTTTTTAATGGTGACTATTTTCATGTGTTGGTCTGTTTCTTACTGCTGCAAGTTGCTTCTTGTGCATCTTTAAAAAAATACAAGGCAGGTAGTGAATCTAACCTAATAAAATACAAATGTCAGCGAGTGTGGATTGAGGGGTTTCAGAGTGTCATATAAGCAGATGTTTTTCTAAATTTTCTAAAGATGCATGCGCCTGAATTATCCTGTGTTCTCATGTGCAGTCACTATGATGAAGTGGTAAATGCTTGTTTGTACAATAGAAAGAAGCCGACTTGATAGGAAATAGGCACGTCTGTAGAATGGCAGATACTTGCAGTTTGTTAATTATTTAATTATTCTATTTGCTTTTAGAGAATTTTCTGAAATGAGCTTTGTTGATAAGGACAGAATAGCTATTTGGGGTTGGGTAAGTACTCAAATAATTTTTGGTGGGAATACTATTTAATTTAAGCAACTACTTGTTGTGCTGTCATGTGTGTGAGATCCTGCAGTGCTTCATGTGAGTCACCTCTGGTATCACAGCACAATCCAGTACATGAACTGATGAAGTTCATCTTAGACGTGTGTTTATACATTGCTTTTTTGCAATCATTCAGGAGCCTTTGTAAGAGAAATTAGGACTACTAGAGGGATTAAAAACCAATTTAAATGGATGCAGCCAAGTTCCTGTGTACAGTATGAACCTATGCTAAAAAGAAAAAAAATCCAAGTATGTATTCAACAGTATTCCTTCAGTTGGATGACTGATTTTAAAAAAGATGTGAAATTACATTCGAGCCAGCTGTGTGGGATGGTTATCATGGTATTTGCAACCATTTGCAAATGGCCAGATTTCTCTAACTTGATGCATCTTTAAAACCTGGCACAGTAGATGGGAATATTTAATAGTTTAATAGCATGAACATACCCCCTCAGCTACAAAGCTAAATGTGTACATAGTGTTAATGATTCCAGTGCTGATTTAAGTTGTTAACTGAAATTTGGGCACTGCAGGTGACAGGCACCAATGAATAAATTGCTTGATGGCAATATGGTGTCTTTAATAGCTTTTCTTCTGGGGGTAAACATCTCTGTTATATGAAGTTACCTGTAACATTAACTGTAGTGAAAGGAGAATTTTTTCTGCAGAAATTGATGATTTGATGCAATCCCATCTTAAGTCCTTATGACCCTCAGGATGAATAGCACAAGAACATTCCTCTTTTGAGCTATGTTGGGATTATGTATCATGGACACTGACCCTGTGGGAACACAGATTTTCTTTATATCTTGAGTTTTTAGACTGTCAGCTTGTCACTATGTACATCTATTTTGTTTGCCATAGATTTAGCAGTAATACCTTTACTGTGGCCAGGTTAGGCATTTATTCAGTGTTTAATTACTATCTGCATGTGTTACTTTGCTAATCTCATTGGAAGGACCTAGGAATTGAAGTTGGAGCAAACATTTAAGGACTTTTAAATAAGATGCAATTCCTTTTGCATGTAATCTGGTTTTAAGACAGGAATGAGGTCCAAAAATAGCTCTTGTTTTTGAATGTGGGTGGGCACATTTTCCTAAATAACCCATTCAAACTCTTGCGAGGGCAGTCATTTGGGCGGCTGGTGACAGTGTTTAGGTATCTTGCTGCCTGGATGCTCAAGTGTGTCAGATATTTACTCATCTGTGTATCTGATTAGACTGTGAGTAAATTTTCTGTGTATAGCAAGGAGTGTGTTGTTGCACAGTTCCTCCCACAGACTCAGCAGATCCTTCATTCCCCAGTCTTGCTCCTGACACTTTGGGGGAGAGTTGGGGAGCGAGTTACCATAGGCCTGCTCCAAGGGTGCTGGAAATTTTTGGATTCCCTGTTGCAACTACTCATCAGAGCACACTGTGGGCCAGAGCTCTGCTTCCACCCACTCCCCCAGCACGGGAAGGGACACAGCGGTTCAGCAGTGTCTTGTTTCCTGTCTTTTGCTGCTGCCTACAGTGCCACCAAACACAGTCATCCTCAGCTGAGTCACAGTTCGGCAGCACTTGGGCCCTTTTCCCCCATCAAGTTCTCATTCATCAGTGCCACCGCAGCTGCCATGCGCTGTTTGATGCCTGTTTCCCCGACTGAGCAGGTTGGCTGAGATCTGACCCAAATTCAGAATGGAGTTCATTAATATGAAAAACGCTGAGCCTATAAATGCCTGATGAACTGTGTAGCAGATGGGCCCCATCCTTTCCCTTCCGACTAAAATAACAGCAATGTTTTCTTCTCAGTCTTATGGGGGATATGTGACCTCCATGGTGCTTGGCTCTGGAAGCGGCGTGTTCAAGTGTGGAATAGCGGTTGCCCCCGTGTCACGCTGGCAATATTATGGTATGTGAGGGCTTCCTCCTTACAAGGATTCCCATATGTCTTCCAGTGCACACGCTGCAAAGTGCAGAACTTCTGATTATCTACTAGATGCCACGTAAATGCCACTTGGTCTGTTTTTATGAGCTTGTGGCCGCTGCATTTTGAAATTAAACCAATTCGCTAAATATTATTTCCCATTTTAAAAAGTCAGACCCATAACTTCAGGTAATCTCTTCAACCATTAATGAAGGCTACGTCATTGTAATATTAATAGTACTGTTGTAATGTGTCTGCATTTGCTTTGAAACCAGTATTGTGTGTCAGAAATCCATTGTAGTTAAAGTTTTGTGTCTTCAAAATGAAACTTCACTTATAAGAATGAACTGTGAGGATCAACTTTGAACTTGCATTGTAATTTACTCTCTAAAAGTACCAGAATAGGATTTGAATTGCCTTAGGTTGGTTGGTCAGGGGTTATTTTAGCATGTAAAATTTGGATTTTATAAATCTAATTCATCTTGAGAATAGCTTGATGTGAGAAAAACCTGATCAAGTGGACAAGTCTCTACATGCTTCAAGCCTTCAGAGCATAAGGTTTCAAGTGGTTGCATGAGGATAGAAATGTGCTAGTTATAGGGGCCCTCCTCCCAGACTAAAAAAAATTATGTAGTTTTAAATAGGTGCTAGTGCAATCTGAACACATTTTAACATTTTCCTCATGTTTATTTGTCCAAAAACATTCAAGGGAAAGCTTTCCCTGGCAAACCTCTACTAAAGAAGGCATAATTTATCATTCTGCAACTAGCACAGAGGCTGTATAATAGCTAATTCAGCAGATCAGATCATACTGCCAGGCAGCAGTAGTCTGCTGGGGACATAGCAATGTCTTCATAATATTTTGGATGTAAATATTACAGTATGACAGGAAATATTTTTTTGATGATCAAGATCTCTACCACTTTTACCTAGTTAAATGAAGGGTTATGCAGGCATACATATTCAGCATAAAAAAAACCTCTAGTGCAACAACTCTAATGTCAAATGGACATTAGAATATGGCAGCAGAGAATTAATTTGTATGGCTTAAAACAAAGCTGCAAATCTGCAAAAGGTAAAATGGCAAAAAAATACGTGGAAAATGATATTTTTTTCACCCAAGCTGAATCCTAAGATACTACTATATTTTTATAGTATAGATTTTTGGTAGTAAACATTTAGATAAAATAAATAGGATTTTTTTTTTTTTAGATGCTAGTTATTTACTGCAACATCTTCAGTCATGTTTTTAGGATTACTGAAAGAATAACAATAAGGAAACACTGACACAAAGTACTATATTAATATTCAGCATTCAGGTGTCCATGGCAACAAGAAGATTAACTATTCTGAATAACGATGGTTACCTACACCCCTCATTGTAGAAAACCTCATTTCCAGTATGCATTGTTACTGCTTGTATTGATGGGTAAAACTGATGGTGGACAGGCTGAAAATTAAGTAGCAGATTCTAATTTTGGGATTTCTTTAATTTCAGATTCAATATACACAGAGCGATACATGGGCCTTCCTACAGAAAATGATAATCTGAAGAACTATAATGTAAGAAAGAAATCACTTTATTTATTTTTTTTGTCTGTTGTTTCATTTCTAAACTGGTATATTGTTCTTTAAACAGTTTAGTTCTTTCCCTGTGGGGAGAAATAAGTTTGTTTCTTCTTTCCTGCTAGAACTGTTGCATTGTGCTGTTAGAGGTTGTCATCTCGTGTGTTTGGATTTGCACAAGGCAGCTTCTTCTTGGTGAATGGTGTTGGGTTTCTGTTGTTTGTTTGATGTGTTGGTGTTTTGGGTTTTTTTTTTTTACATGAACTTCCATTTGACTGTTTTGCAGACTGTAAAAAAAGCTGTAAAAACTTCTAATCACCAAGAAACAAATTTGTTTTAAAATTTATATGTTCATGAGAAAAGTATGCTCTTAAACATTTTTCACAAAAACAAATGTACTCCCATTCTTCCTGAAATGTAATTTTTTTTAAAAAGGGTATTGTGTGAACTTCCCTGCTTTAGGAATCTGCAGGTTTTTTCCAGGGAAAGCAAAATTTCCTCAATACTAGAATACTTTGACAGGTAGGCTAATCTGTCTGTACTGTGATCATATCAAATTGCAGACCAACTGAGATCCAGCAGTGTCAGGACTGAAATGTTGGCACAATCTCCATAAACAGAGGGTGTCCAAAGTTTGTTCTAAAATGACCAGTGTTTGCACAGGAGTGAGGGAATTTGCATTTGTCCTTCTGAAAGCATATTGCATGTAGCTTGTTCATCCTTGTTACAGCATGATTATTAATTGACTTGTTCTTCCATGTGCCAGATGATTTTTGCTGCCTCAAGGGCTTTTTGAAGTCACAGGTAGCTGGGCATAGGGCAAAGTAATAGAACGTTCTGTTAGGTTTTATTAAACTTCAGGCCAAAATGAAAGTACAGAAGCTATGGGAGAACTGTGAGGAATCTGAGGGGTACTTTGTGGCCTGGTTACTGGAATGTTTCACAGAAAACTGTTTTACAGTCCAGCCATGGTGATACTGGAACCAAACACTGGTGTTAGAGGAGGAGATAGAGCATTCTCTGTGTTTGGGTTAGTAAGCAGGGTAGAAGACAGTGCTGTTGTGTGCATTAAAAAAGTGTCATGGGTAGAAAAAAGGGTGGGAGTTGCACTGATTTAAAAGTATGATAAAACATATAAATACACACATATATGTACTGAAACATGTGGTTTGACATTTATTTACAGTACTCTAGTGTTGTCAGCTGCTGTATGAGATGTTCTGGTCAAGACTGGGGACAAATGTAGTGACTGCTGGACAACTTGGTACTGTGTCTGTGTCTCCCTCTGTAACCACTGAGCTATTGAGCCCAGCAGGAACTGACCAGCAGCCTGCAGCGCCTGCCTGCCTTTTTCCAAATGTGTTTCTTTAAGGCTTGGGAACAGTAGGAGGTCTGCGAGGTAGCAGTGTAAATACAAGTCACTGTCGCTGTGCAGAACGAACGTTAACGCTCTGGGTGCACAAAGTCACTCACCAGCTTCACGGCACAGATGGCAACAGAGGACTGTTTAATCCTTTCAAGCCAGGAGTCGGATTTTCTTGGCACGGTATCCATTGCTGGCAATGGCCACGTTGAAACTGCCAGTACCAAAGAGCTAAAGGTTTCAAATGTGTTACTCAGAGGACTAATTGGGGAGAATGGTGGCTAGATGGAGGAGGAGTAATTGCCTAGATCAGATTGTCACACTTCGCTGCTGCTCCTAGAGAAAGGAAAATGCAACTTAAATCCTTGTATGTTGTAAAAAGCTCCAAATAGCACAGTACTCGGACTTTACTTTTGACCTGGAGGGTGGGGTAGCTTGAGAAGTGAATTTGTTGCTTTTCATGTAGCCTCAGTGACAGTGTTGTGCGATTTTGTTATTGCTGAAGACCCTTACTGACTTCAGCCCAGGATGCTCCTGGCTTACAGCCCCTTTGATCCGTGTCCCTGTCCCAATAGCCAGCCTCCTGGCTCCTTAACACTGACAAGAGCTGTTTGCTGAAATGAATGTTTTTTGAGGTGAATGCAGAATCTGTACTGAAAGCTAGTACATACAGCTGAAGCTGTTAAAGCTTGCACTGCTAACTCTGTGCTGTCAGGTTTGTGTGCTGCATCATATATTCTCTATCCTGCTGCATTTCTGTAAAGCTGGCATGAAAAGTGAAAAGTTTCATAAACTGTAGTATGCACCCTGATTTAAAAGACATGAGATGGTGTACACACCTCTTTAGAGAAGATGAGCACTGCTAGGCACATTCCTGACATGCAAAGTATTATTAATGACTGAATATATAGACTAAAGAAACTAGTTGTGGTAAGAGGGGTACATCCTGCCTTTTTCTTACTGTGACATTAGGTTTTACTTTATTGAAGGCAGAGAATCTGAGATGTTAAATACTGTTTGTCAGGAATCAAGTCTGAGGGAGGACTCACATTCCTAAGTGGGCTAATTAGGTATGTTCAGTGTCTTTTAAGGTAGTTGTAAACTATTAAAAATTAGAGCTTTGTAAAAGAGAGGAGCAAACATGGGTGGTGCTCCTAATACAATCCTAGGCTGAATGGCAGAGAATCTGGCGGCCTGGAATAAACATCCTGATGCAAAAGAGCTGAGACTGAATCAGGGCAGAGCTCCGGAGGTCAGACGCAGTAGCCATGTAAAGCATACCGAAGAGACTGTTCAACTTGTGAGAACATTATTTTGCAGTTCACTCTGAATTTGATATGCTTTTGGCAAGTGTTTGAAACAGTCATAGATTTGGCAATCTTTTTCTAGCAGATTTGAAATGTTCAGTCCTTAAGAACTGCTGCATCATTAGGTTATGCAAAACAGGGTACAATTTTGTAAATATGCCATCTTGTACTGATTTGACATTTGTTCTATTATCTGAGAATATGCTAAAGGGAGAGAGACCTTCAATTTCAGCCAAACCTTAACTTGTTTGTGGAGTGCTGATAAAATGTTGACTGCTGTGTGATCTTTAGAAAAGCCAGTTACACTCAGCAGGGCCTAATTCTAAGTATTGTGCACGTTACCTTTTCAGAGCCTTTGTCCCAGCAGCGTAACTGTAAAACAGAAGTGGGAAATAAAGTTGTGGTTTTTTGCTGTCCAGTTAAGGTTTGTTCAGCTGCTGTTGCTTTGTTGTCTGACTGTGCCTACTTAAGAGTGCTCCCCATCCTGCAACCTTCTTTAAGAACACAAAGGTACTGTGTCCTTAAAGCATGTTTTAGGGAAGGGACTCTTCATGTTGACTGTGAGTACAGCAAGTGAAGTATAAAAAAGCAGAGAAAGTATCTCATATGCTTCTTTTTTCTGAACTATTTTTACAAATAACTTTATTTTATTTAATGCCTGAGGAGGAAAAATAGTGACATCCTCTTTCTAAAATGGCTTTTGCCAAGTCAAGTTCTCAGAAGTGTAGCTTAAATAAGGCTTCCACTCACAGAAGGTTTACTTAAAACAGCGTTGCTTTTCTGGAAGAAAGTGTAGCAAGGTGATGTATCAATTTTCCCTCTGCACATGTGGAAAATTATTTACTCAAAGGATACTGGTTGGTTTAGGGGTTTTCTTCTTTTGTTTTTGTTGGGTTTTTTTGGGGTTTTTTTTTTTTGGTTTTTTTTTTTTTTTTTTTGTCATTAATCTCACTGGGCCATTTCTTTCTCATTTGTTCTTTTGGTCAGCTGGTTTGCCAGTGCTCCTCAGTGCATCAAAGTGCTCTCTCCATGTTTTAGCTAAATGTTCTTACTCCATGATACCAAATAATCAAAATGGAAAGTGTCATGCTTCGACTGTTGGTGGATTTCCATATACTGGATTTCTGGTGCTCTCTAGCCTTTGACTATCAAAAGGGGGCAACTGCAATGTTACAGAGTGGAGGGTGGGGGTTTTTTTGCCCTCTCTGCTGAACTTGGTTTTTAGATTTCGTTGAATACATACACAGAACTCATTTCATGTATGAAAGGATTCTGAAACACTATTCTGCCATGAAAAAAGGAATTTTAATATTTGTACTTGGTTTAAAGATTTGTGAGTGTACAAGAGACATAAGGACATTAGAACACTTCTGTGTCTTTGCAGTGTAATGTATTTGACTTTTTGGGGTACTAAATGCAAATCCTTGTGCAAGGATACAGCCTTAGCACAAAGCTGGGAAGAAAAAAAGCAAATCACTAAATTCTTCTGTTCATAATTTTTAGTATTTTTTTTCTTGCCAGATTAACTGGTTGTCTTATTAAGCCTAAAATGTCTTGTCCCTTTTGTTCTCGTCGTCCTCTGCTCATGGCAGAGAACCATCGTACTCCCTTTCCTTGCCCAAATTAAAAATCTTACCTGCAATCCTTACTGTCTTCATTCTTTAATCACAGTAGCAAGTCAGAATGTTCTAGGGAATATGTTTTAAATTTCTTGATTAATCATAGTCACTGATTATTTAATCTTTTCCTTACTGTACGTGTTTCCATTCCCAAGATGTAGCTTGACTTCTATTTAGAGATTTGGTCTAGTGATTTTTGCTCAGGTATTTCTCCTTCATATTTGGAGAGCACGTTTTTCTAAACTTTTTGTTACCCAATTTTACTGGAGACTGAGGCAGTATTGGCTCTGGTGCCTTACCTGCAGGTGAACCTCGTGGGGAAGATAACGTGCATAGCCTCTGCAAGATCTACTCCTTGCTCTCACAGGATGCACTGTTGCCATGGAAACATTTTTTTTTAACTTGTCTGCAGTCAAACAGGAAACCTATGGCACACGGTGCTGCAGGCTACCACCGTGCTGGCCATGGACTGAATGTGCACCTCACTGCAGAGCTCCCCCTCTGCAGCTGCCCTTCCTTGGCAGCCACAGCCTTGGTGACACTTGGTGGGTGTGGGGTGGTTGGGCAGGGGCACCCAGCCCCTGGATGTGTGACCGTGTCCCATGGCAGCTCAGAGGGGGGTAAGCAGGGCTGTGCTTGGTTTGAGCTGAAGGACCCCAGACAGTGTCAACATGAATCAAATTCAGTTGGTAGCAAGTCATACCCTAATAAATAGCACCTTTTATCTTTTTTTTTTCCTTTAATTTCAGAGTTCAACAGTAATGGCCAGAGCTCAGAAATTCAAGGAAGTTGAATATCTCCTTATTCATGGAACAGCAGATGGTGAGTTGCAGTTAATTAGACATTTTAGTATTACAGACAGGTTCACAATTCTACTACTGACAAAACAAAAGCATGAAGGGGCAAGGCTGTTACATTTGCATCAATAAAATAATACCAATTTTTGCAACTAATCTGTGTTTCAGTCAGCAGTGCTGGGGAGTCTAGTATGTACATTGATTTGATTTTCCCCCAGAGTATTACAGAAGCAGTTTTTGTTTACCTTCTTCCTCTTCCACTTTTCAGATAATGTTCACTTTCAGCAAGCAGCACAGATTTCCAAAGCTCTTGTTGATGCTGAAGTGGATTTTCAGGCAATGGTATGGTTCTTTTTTGTTTATCATTATACAAATGAGAATAATAACATAAGCTCCCTGTGGTAAGATATAAATTCATTGCCTTTTTAAATGAAAGTTCATATAGTTGCATTGCATGTTCAGTAACTGAAACGTGAACATAAAGCACGTATTTTATTTCTGCACTAGAAAAACTGTAAAGCCATACCATCTCATACTCGATCCTTTTTACCTAATCTTTCATTTTCTTAAATTTTTTGTGTTCTTGGACAAGCAGCCAGTCCCAACCTTTGCATATACCCAAGTGCAATGAATAGTGTCTTACAGATAGGATAAAAGGAAAGGCTGGCTTTGACAAAATCCCAGATAACCTGTCCATCATGTCTGGTGTTTACTGTACTTGTAAGACAAGCAGTTATTTGCTACTTCTTATGTTGTGCATGGAAGTTCTCTGACTAAGGTGCAAGCTCTTCCTTTCTTACATTCTCTCAGACCCTGAGGAGCAGTGCTAGAAAGGATGATGTATAGAAGGAGGCCAAGCACATGGTTTTCCTTCAGCCAAACTCAAAGGACATACAGAGAGAGAGGTCAGGCACCCCTCATAACTGAACAGCTGAATCTGCCCTCCATGTGGACAAGCCACATGTTGTTTTTACACCTTCAGCATAAAAACAGAGCATGTCCCACATGCAAAGAAGGTGCTTGTGTCATAGCAGCTTCCTACCCCATCATGTCTTTGCCTTCATGCTGAAAGCCTCATGCTAGGATCATTTTAAATTGCTGCACAGGTTTTTATGTCTGTCATGTTTGATTTATATCATTTAGATGTAGCTGCAACTAACACTATCTGTATTTCTCTTTCACACAGTGGTACACTGACAAAGACCATTCCATCTCCGGTCAAGCACATAAGCATATTTATACCCATATGAGTCACTTCATAAAGCAGTGTTTCTCACTGCACTAGCACCAGCATTTTGCCTGTTAGTGATGGTACTTCTCCAGAAAGCTCTCATGATAATGTACTCTGAGCCAGTATAAATCAAGATGATATAAGAGTCAGCTCTTGGGATGCCGGTGTACACAATGAAATACTAATCTTTATAATGATTCCTGTTGCCAAGCAACTATTGCATTTTTATTGATTGTATTTAATCAGGTCTTAACATCACCAGAATGATGTTGGAGACTTCTAGGATGTATGGTACTTGCTTGAGTAATTACCTTTTGAAATTTCAGTCTAAAAGAGAAGCAATTCAGTTTGTATATCAGAGAAATGAATGATAAAATGTCACATGGCGACTGGTTGCAGAATAAAAATATAATAATGTTTCCATCAAAAATGAAATGAACCCTGGGGAAATTTCTGTGAAAATAATGAAGAAATGTTTTTGCAGAAATTTGTAAAGCTTGATAATTATTATTTTAAAATGGGTATCAGGAATACTGCAATGTTAATATGTGCAGATTGAAATACTTTATACTGCAGTTCCTGAAGTGAGTGTGTTTTCTTTGCAATCCCTTGTATTACAGTTGTAGAACTCTTGCAAGTCAAGCACATAACAAACTTTCACCAAAGATTTTGAATGATACCTAATCAAACCAATGGCGCTGAATTTCTTTGTGTGCTATCATATCGTACTGTGATATTTTGCTTATTTTATAACAAAAACGGCTGCTACATTGGGAATCTGCACTGCAAAATCTCCTCTGGGAACAAGAGCCCCATTGTTTTAATGTAGAAGTTGCTCATGTACTGGTGAATAGAAACTGGTTCTTACACTGAAACATAAAACATTACAATACGAACTAGCAGTCACTTACAGCAAGGGCTGGACTGTCACTCTCCTGTGAAAAGGCTCTTTGGCTTTCCCTTATAGCCTACCAATAAATATCTGCTTTCTTTACAGCATGCCAGGTAGGCTTCTCCATCTAATCTGAGGATTAGTTTTCTTAATTTCACATGGAAAAATGCAATCCACTTGTACTAAAAATTGTGCTGCTTTAAAATAATAAAGACATTAATTTATGAAAGTAGGTGTAGTTCATATCATTGAAAATGTTGCTTCAGAAAAAGAACACAAGAATTTTTTTTAAATCCCCATTAATTTTGAGGATGACTTACGGTGAAGCTTCTGATTTTATGTAATGGTATCATGTAATGGAGTGTGACATGATTATCTAACACTTAGCTTCTTGGTATTACATGCCAGCATCTGATTATGTCTGTATTGTGGGTTATTAGTGACATTAGGTGTGAATGTAAAAGTACTCATGCAGACAGATAAAGCATGGGGAGGAATGTTAAGACACTTTGTGCAGCTTGTCCTTAAATGAGAAAGTCTCAAATAGAAAATCAGATTTTGTTTTAGCAAACTAACAATTCCTTGACTCACAAAATAAGATGGGCGGTTTTGTTCTGTTTGTTGGCATTTTTTTGAAACGCACTGGAGCTGAGTTTTACAAATACCATCTTGGGTTCAAGGGAGTAGGGGCTCTAATGTAGACTGGCACCACTGTTAAAGTTCTACAGGATTACAGGCTGTCAGTTATCTCCAAGAGGTTTTATCATCACATCTCTCATTCTTTTGACTCAAGGCAAAGAAACCTGTATCAGTATATGGTAGATCCCAGCAATACAGACAGGTTATAAAAAAAAATTATCATTATGATATGGCTTATGTATACAAGGATTTCTTTTAATGTTAGGATTTCTTTTATTGTTATCACTCATACTGACATAAAAAAAGTGTTTCTGTAAGCCAGAAAACTACTTTCACTAGGCTCTCATTAGGTAAGTGCAAGAATTATTATAATCAAATAAACATTTTAAAACTTAAGTGAAACTAGAAATTATAGGGTCTAAGTCTTTCATTAAGATGCAATTCTTTACAGCTGACCTATGTTACGATTCTAGCATCTCACTGGGAAACTATTCTGTACTCTCAATACATCATCCCCTTTTAACTGTCTTATCTGCAAGGCATTACATAATGCAATGCTAATTATCTTTGGAAAGCAGCTTCTAAGATATGCTGCTAATAGATAAAGATACAAATTTTAAAACAAAAGAAAATTTCATTGCTATAGTAAGCGTCCTAATGAACATCAATTCAGCGTCTAATTTTTCACTCTGATAGAACTCCCTCAGCTCCAAAAATAATGCAGGCAATAGGATGATAGAGCTGCCTCAGGGAACTGACAACTTTCTTGAACTGCATGAGCACAGGTAAATAACTTAAACTGAGGCCACAGAAAATATCTAGCTCGTTTCATTAATGTGCAAGGCTAGAAGTCAGTTGTGCCTGAATTACTGAAACATGCTAGTTGGTTGCACACCTACCAATTATGGGTTTTCTCTGTATTTTTTTCCTATGTGAAATGGATGTTTAAGTTTGTTGAACAATACACTTTGTGTAAAATCCTAACAGAAGCAGCAAAAGCCTGAGATGTCACTGTTAGCATTCTTAGGCTAGGAGACTTCTAGGCTTTGGTTTAGTAATTGGTGAAAAAGCTCAAAAGGGATTTAGTAAGATGGAGTCAATATTATATGTAGTACTGTGATTCATGGCCTTGAAAAGTTTTTCAGTAGCAAAGATTTAGGGTTCTGAGAAGAGCAGAAGCATTTTAAAATGTATGACCTTACCTATTGATCTCTAAAAAGATCTGACTACTCCTGCTTTGTCCACATCATCTCTCTCAGGAGGAAGGGTGACCAACTCAGGAGTAGCAAATTGGAGCTTCATTCCCATTTTCTCCCAGTGAGCTCTGAGCTATCCCCGGTGTCACACTTACTGTTAAGGTCAGACCAAGTGCATCACCACCAACTCCACCCAGGGAGCAGCACTCACAGCCTTGCATGTTTTACTGAGATTCCACTTGAAAAGGGAGCCATGCTGGGCTTTACCACTCATTAATTTGTGAAGCCCATTCAGGTCCAGTAGCCATTTCAAATATCACATGGTATTGCAAACCGCTTCTGGGTTTCGCAGTATAAAAACAAAATTGAAAATTAGTTAGGATAAATATTTATTTTCACATAACATATCTTAATTGTGAAAAACACAATAGTCTATTCACATGTACACATAAACTTTTGTAATAAATTACATCCAAGAAGTTGAGTAATTTTGACCAGGAATATGAAATTAGAAGTAAATATAGCACTACATCTGCTTTACATTGTGTGTGATTTCAGAACGTTAAGATTAGCATTGGAAAAGCACTTAAATTCACGCAAAACCAGAGTGTTTTAAAATAAAACCACTCTGAAATACTGAACAGAAATACAGAATGCCATTGAATACACTGATTTCTTAATATTCTAAGAGTTGGTCAAGTGAAGCTAATACATTTTGATTGTATACATTATCTGTAACAAAGTCAGCAACATGTTAAAACACCATCAGGCTGCTTTCAGGACAAACCAGTATTGAGCTTCTATACTAACCTTAAAACAACTGGAATCTTACAATTTATCATCAAGTACACAAAACGAAGCATTTAACCTTAATGCATCAGAATTTTTTTCCTAAATTTACATATACAAAACATTGAATTAGATGTGAATCCTTCTTCGCGTCCATTAGTTTTTTTTCTCCATAAAAATGCTTTTAATGGGCTTTGATAATGCTAAGGTAAATTTAGAACAGTGACCCTATTAAGTTTGCAGCAAAATGCAATTATTTATGGCTAAAGTATTAAAACATACACACTCACATACACAAAAACATTGGAATACTTTAAATGTGCTGAATGGGAAAACTTGTTCATGAGGTGTATAGAAAATTAGCATATTTGGGAAAGCTGGGGAGTGTTAGAGCCCTATGGATGAGTTCTTACAAAGATTGCAAGACTAAAATTCTTATTTTTAGGATTCAAAGTTACAGCATAATACTGATAGTTTGCTTTCATTTTAATAATTTAAAAATTTATCTTAAAAAATTTAAAAATCAGTGAACTCGAAATAACACAATAGAACTTTAGCTCCACATCCCTATTCATTCAATACCTAATCTTGTAGTCTTTTACACAAAAGAACAGCTTGAAGGATTAGGCAATAACATCCATTACAAAAAATGTAATAGCCTTATAGCCACATTTTACTTTGCAATGTTGTTTTTATCTTTTAATCAATATGTACTTGATGGAATAATTAAGAGCTGTAACAAAACAACAGCAGGATACCCATTTAAGTATTATACACAATCTCTGAAATGAAGAGCTTTACAATTGTTAGTGGAGAGAAGACAATATAAGTACCTCCCTTATGTGGCTGAACTTTAGGCAATAAAGAGGAAGATCATTGGGCAGATGATAAAACTGCGTGTGGGGTATAGTTTGTATCTACAAAATTTTCCCTATTATAAAATAAAGGATTGATTCATGACAAAATGCATTTGTTTGGCCTACCATGGCAACATTCATACAATACAAGATAAGATACTGGAATCACATTGCATTTTAAGAAAAACTGTACCCATGTTTCACATCAAAGGATGTGGTGGTGTTCTTTAGCTAAGGTGAGAAAATGTTTTAATATATAATTTTATATATATATATATATTTATATATATATAGGACTATGATCCAGTTACATACAAATTTTAATATTAAATACACTGTATTAAATCAAGGAAAACTTCACAAATACAGAATCTGACCCTGCAATTCACATTGCAAAACTGAATCCATGACTTCAGATGGACAGATGAAGGAGGAAAGTATTATCCTTGTTAGTTTATTCACAGGGTCAGATCAGTTGTTATTTTATAAACTTCTTAATGTTTGCTCATCAGTTTGGGTGTCCTGAAATCATTTACTAGTTAGGTGATTTAAAAAAAAAAAAAATTGGAACAGGGGTTTTCAAGTTCATCTTGAATCAAGATTATTAAGTATTTTCACACAGAAAAAGTAGCAAAATACAGTACAAACCTATTAACAGGAAAGTTGAATTTGAAAGAAAATTTGCTTCTTACATTTCTGATACAAGTACTGATAAATGGCCAAGATCAGCAACAAACACAAAGATTTTTTGCATTGGCTACTGCAGACATTTACATTGATACTAGACAAGGTAGACAAGGTGGAATGAGACAAGTATTGCACTACATTACCTGTGCTAGTTTGAGATGAAAGATAAAAGTTACAAGATAAATAATTTATATTTAGTGGTTGTGGCACTCTAATTCATTTGTAAAAAAATTACTTGAAGAGCAAGTCATAGACAAGTCTCCCGGTCAACACCTTTCCCTGAGTCAGCTTTCTTCTCTTTTCTGATTTCAGCACTAGGAAGCGAAAGGGGAAACAAAATAAAATAGGGTTATGGTAGCACTATTACACACAAAACTATATAGATATATATATAAACCTGAAAACCAACATTTCACAGATACTTTATTTTTCATGCTTCATGGCACAAACTGGGAAAGCAAGTGAAAATTTCTGTGCTGAATGGTGTAGAAGACATCAGGCAGCATTTTAGTGACAAGGTAGGTAAAGAACTTAAGATGTACAGACAGCCAGCATGCATGCAAAGATAGCCACTCATTTTTTTCTTTTTTGGAAAATACAACTTAATTTACTAAAAAATGGTAATGGTACAGTTCTCAGACAATACCAGCACATTTTTAAATGGAACAAACAAAAGGTCACAGTAAGTATTTCTTGTCTTTAAAATGTATTCTCTTGTTCAGCTGTACATTTAGAAGGAGTGTTTCTGAACTAGAGTAGTGCAAGCCAATATCCAACAAATATTTGGCATTCAGTCTTGATTGGGGAGAGCAGAAGTCTGGGGAGGATGGGGAGAGACAATATTCCCCATGTAGAGTGTAATATGTACTTCCTCATGTATACATTATAAGGAAATAAAAAAAAAAAAAAAAAAAAAGCCTGAATGATCTGACACAAGCCATATCATTCAGAACACTAAACCAGAGCTCAATTTTGGATTCAGCTTTTTTTTTTCCCCAGTTAAAACAATGTTGATTTGCCTACAGAAAGCAATATACGTGCAAAGCAGATGATTTTTTGTGTGAGTGTCCTAATTTACAACAGCGTAAATAAATAAAATCATGTTCTTCCAATGAGTCTCAATCACAGTATGAAAATGTAAAGAGGCTTCCACAACACAGGCAAATCAAGCCTTCAACAAAGAGTGGCAGGGTATCTAAAAAAAACCAGATGGTTCTGAGAACAAACCTGCAGCAAGCACATAACCTACCAGGTTTCATGGGAATAATTCCTTAACTAGAATGAATGAGAAATAGGCTGAGTTACACAAGGCTTAAAGAAAGCAAGATCAATTCTCAAATTCTTAAGGCGATTCATGCACAATTCTACAATCATTTGACATTTTTCTTCACATAAAAATTGCTTTAAGGATACAACTCAGTTCAGCCAAAGCTTACTTCTATACCTATGGCAGCTTCCAGAGGTGCTAATGGAAATAGCTAAAGAATACCAACTTCTGCCACTTCAAGTGCCAAACCTGTCACCTTCTGTAGAACAGTGATAGAATTGGGTACGTTACACTTTCTGCACACAAAGGGTATGCAAACAAATTCTGGGGGTGGGGGGTGAATTAAAAGTGCAGCAGTACAGCAGGCATGGAGTTACCTGTGCTTAGTAAAAGCAAACACTGAGGTGTTGTATGCCTTACAGTCTATAATATTTCCACGTTTTAGGTGCCTCTGTGATACCAGGAAAGTCTTCCTTCTATTTAGGATTCACATCTCTGGGCAGCTCCTGTAGATGTGGGGTTTAATGCCTTGAGAAATTTGAAAAAAAAAGGACAAGTCCAGTCTTTTTCCAGTAAAACACATCACTGGTGTATCTGTAAAGGAGTTGGAGCTCTCTTCCTCCCTACCAAGGGAGTAACCTAACATGCCTGAGCAGGAAGGTCTGGGATGTGAGATTTTCAGATCTGCAGGTCGAAAAGGGAACTCACTCATATCATCTGCAAAGTGACAGATGCCTCTTTTTACAATATTTAAAAGACCTGCTAAGTCTATCTCCTGTCCATGGTCAGATCTGCATATGCTTTGAAATTGCTCTCTGAAGGGCTTAATACTACGAGCAAAGACAGAGGAATGTCTATTTACATGTACCAAAGAGGGCTGTGCTTCAGATAGGTGCACTGGTGTTCTGTTCTACCAAGAAAGGCTCAAAGGCAGACATTTAGGTCCCTGAGAATTTTAATAATAAAAAAATGAAGGTTGGAAAATTGTGAAGTTCAGGTGCCTGTATGGCTAGGCAGCTTGACTGAATCCTTGTAAGTCCTCTCTTTAGACAGGTAAAAACATTCAGGAGCCTGGGATGTAAGAGCTCTCTCACACAATGCTACTTCACAGAATCAGGGCCAGGGCACATCTTGTGATAGAAACTATCCATGCATCACACTGGGAAGTCATTTGTATAAACCCTTCCTGTCTAAAGTCTCCTTTTGTAGATGATCTTAGTTTATAACTGGCCAAGTCAACTCCGTGTTTAATTACTACGAGTAACTTCCTGTTAATTGGTTTATGCCTTGCATAAAAGGCATTACATAAAATCATAGTATACTATCATAATTTAATTATCCCCATTTAATAATATTTTGAGATATAAGGAAGCAGAATTGACAGCAGAAAGAAAGTACTAAATGTTATGTAGTTGAACTTCACAAGGGATTAGTAAAATTTATTTCAAAATGAGATTTTTTTTTTTCCCCTCTATGATAAGGTACCCTTCACTGTGGAAATTGTTAATCTAATACTGCTGATCTTTATCATTTGCAAAAATTATCTTTACAACTGCTACCATTCCAAGCTTTTTTTTCCCCTCACTAAATACCTAGGATTAAATGATACCATGTATCATTTAATGATACATGCATTATATTCTATAATATTTTTGTAGTTCTATCCCTAATATGACTTAAGATTAAAGTTGCTTATGGCTTTGCTTATCAGAAAGGAAGTCTTTCAGGGTTAAAGCTCTTTGAGTCTGCTCCTCTCCCAGAATCTGAGACAAACTAGAGCACCTGAAAATGCAGGGTTTCAGAGTCTTTAAGGCTGTTTGTTTACAACAGGACACTCATATCTAAAACCAGAAAAATCTTTTCTCCTGAGTCTTTGTTTTCAAGAGCAAAGACAGAAAAACAGATTGAAAAATAAAACCTTTAAGAAACCAGTTTCTATTTCACTGCAGTTTAAAGGGCAAATCTCTTATCTGAGCCACAATCTGTGTGGATGCTCTTTGTTCAGAGGGTCAAGTTTACATCATCTATCATATCACCAAAGAAAGCAACATACACCAGGAAAATTACAGTTCCTGTGTACCCAGGGGCTGTGAATGTACCACGTCAGGTTCTTCTCTTTCTCCAGGCTTTCACAGCCTGGCAGCAGAGGCACTTGACATAAGAAAACTCTCCAGTACATCCTCCTCCCGTGCACACACGGATTTCAGTGACATTTCAGGATCCTTTTCACTCCATGTATAGGGTGGAAGGCAAACAAGAACTATGCTATTTTGACTGTCAGTGAAATACCATCAAAATGACCACATTAGTGGGCTGCTCCATGGGTATCTGAAGCAAAGGTTCTCTGGTCATCAACTGCTCAGTCTTGTTCATGCAGTTCAGGGAAAGGAACAACTCTGAAAGGCAGCATGCCATTTTGGGGTGACAAAATTAAAAAACGCTATCACTACAAGTGTTCTCTCACTGCATCTGTTCACCTTGAAACAATGACTGCCTGTTTCAAACATGGGCTTTTGAAAAATATATTTAGAAATGGGCAGAATATAATTCTGTATTTTAAAAAAGATTACTAGGAATAAATTCAGTTTGACATTTGAATACACTACACTATTTAAATACACTATTTTAAATAAAGAGTAAATTTCAAATTCTAATATTTGAGACTTTAGTGAAGATATTTTACATTCTTATTCAAAATTTCTTCTCATTCTGTCTCCCTGAAAACTACACAAAGTCAACTCATTTGAGCTCCAAGGTGATACCATTTTGAATCGGAAGACACAATCAAGGAAAAGGTTGGGGTCAGGGTCTTACCTTTGGGGAATCAGCTTCTAGAGTGATTAGGAAGGGGAGCTTATGACACAAGTGTGATACGAAACAATTAAATAGAAAATAATTACATTTTAAATTTATGGAAGCAGAGGGAAAAATTCACTTATAAAATCACATTGTGCTTGAATTTAATATTTTCTTATTCCTGTTGCAACTCTGTAGCACAGATAAAATAACGTCTTCATTTTACTGGACTAAAATCTAAAATTATTTAATTGTTTTGAGTACAAGTGAAGTTGGCAGAAAAATGTAACGAAATGATGCAACCATAAAATTATTTTCAATCCAAATATTATTAGATTGCATTCAGAGTACTGGGTTCTTCATACAGCTATTTCCAGGGCAGTGACGATCACTTCTTTTTCAAGAGGAAAGAACAAAAGCAAGCAGAACAAATGCAATATCCAGGTGGAGACTGGTGGTTCATTACACAAGCATCAGGCATGCTCAGCTTCATTTTCCACTGGAGCATAACGAAGTACCATGCAAATATTTGTGATTTATGTTTTTAAATAAGTAGTGAATTTGTGTTTTGAGCTCAGAATATTACGACTAGACATAAGAAATAAAACTGCAAAATGTTAAAAATCTTTCTGATCCCTAGCAAAATATTCTAATATTGGTTTGACACCAATATATAAAGTATAATAAAGTTAAAAAAATTAAGACCTTTTAGAAGGAAAGCTTGACTCCTTATCTTTTGCATTCTCTGAGGATATCAACAATGTCTTCCACACAGCAGTTTTTGCCATTTCATCAGAAATGTTTATCACAGATGGGTCATCTCTAGAGAAGAATGAAAGTAAATAAATAATAAAACAATCAGCAATCAGCCTTGTTACTTATTAACTCAGTAAAAGTCCTTGTAAATGACAGTGATGACGATACTTCAGCATAAGTTAAGAGATTATGTTAAACTTCGTAAGTCCTGAACAGCTAACTTAAATACTCTCTCAGAACATCTTAGCACTTTTAAAGTATTTTCTTCCTCCAACAGCAATTAATCACAGTAACATCAATAAAATTTATTGTGTTGCTCCCAACTAATAAACAAGACAAAAATAAGGAGGTGTGAAATTAAATATTGCCTAAGACCTCACAGCATGATAGTGGCATCACTGGATTAAACATGATCCCAAAAGGTCCTGCTTATGCTCTGAAACTCCACCTACCTTTACAACTATTTTAGAAGTAATCAAAAGCCTTAACAAAATAACATATTTAAGAGAGCTTAAATATTTTTAAATATTTAATTTAACAGCTAATAAAAATGTCACAATAAAACAAACTAATCAGTAGGCTTAAGTAGCACTTTGTAGCCATTATGCTCTTTGATTTACCTGGACTGCTCCACACATGTATTTATACACTTAATAAAGTCTTAAATGTTTTAAGGGTTTGCCTGTACATGATTCCTGATTTCATGTTTACATATAGTTGGCATTCAGTAAGCCCTCAGTAAACTTGCTGTTGTGTGTTTTGGGAACCACTTTAATCCCATTATCTTGACTTGTTTTTAACTGCAACTCTTACAGCACAGAGAGTCAGGTATTATCCAGGCAACTCTACTAAGGTCAACACACAAAGGAGATCGATAGAGATCACACTGCAAGATAAATTAAGCTACATATTGCTAATATAAATCACAACAAGAAGGTATGGACAAAACAAGCAAAGAACCAGACCATTAGTTGTGTGATGAGTCAAAAGAAGTAGGCTGGGATTTTTCAGAGACACAGTCACAAATCTCCTGATTTGCATTAGGAGACATTACAGTAACTGTGTTAAAATGTTAGAGAGAAGGCCACTCTAAGATGATGAACTCACATTCATGTAGAAGTTACTGTCACCAGACATTTCAAATAATTTATTAAGTATTTCTTTCTGAAAACTTCAAATTATATTTATTCTTTATGGGCTGGCAACATGAATTATTACTATCTATAACATAGATGTTCATGCTTTTTTAGTTGTGTCAGTCCTGCATTATGCTTTTTCTACCTGGGACAGCTCTTGATTCACTTATTATCTTACATAACAGGATTTAATCAGAATGTTTTAGAATGTAATACTTTAAGAACCCAGTTTTTCTGCAGTGTTTTTAAAACCTTTCCTGGATCCCTGCTTGCATCAGGTTGAAGGGTTTGAGCTGCTCTACATCTTCCTTTTGCACTGTGCATGTCAGAAGCCAAAGTTCATTGAGAACAGCCTGATCCTGCAGTCCTGTCCAATGGAAAACTTCCAACTAGTGTGTCTTTTTCCTAGGGAATGTGAGCTTGTGTGGAAAGAATATAAAAGGGCACATCTTGTTAAATGCTGCAGTGTGTGCTTCAGTTCACCTATCCATACCAAAAAAATCCTCATGATATTTAGTAAGCATTATGAATAAATACTGTGGCATGTTTATTTTATTTAACTGCAACTCACCTAAAAGAGGAAAGGTATATTTTACCTGTAATGTCCTTCTAGTGGTAACTGAACAGTGCCTTCCTCTTCCATTGCTAACATACTTTGTTCTTCCTAGAAAAAAGGAATTTAGACATGAGACAGGATATGAAATAGTGAAAAGTGAAATTTGTGTACTTGAATCATCTTTCCATTTTCTTTAATGTTAAGTATTTATTCAAAGTTCTTAAAGTAAGATACTTTTCAACTTTTACTTAAATAGTTGACATTTAAAACCTTCTATTTTAAAATATGTATCTTCACTTAATGTTATTTTCCAGTGCCAAATAGAGCATTGTTTTGTAACAATAAAGAGGAGAATTATTAACAGCGAGTGAACAACTGTCTGATGGATTTTAAATAACACTGATAACAGGATATATGCATTGATGTTTACATGTGAAAATTAGGGAAGATTATTTAAGTTTACACACACAGTTTTAATACTGATAATACTGATTTTAGTACTGATTTTTCAGTGAAAGGTAATGAAACAAGAGACCCAAAATTAGTTTTCACTTGAAGGGAATTGAGAGATAAACCTACCAAAAACCTTATGTAAAGTGATTACAAATTTAGCAAATCTACCTTAGCGGGAGGGGAGGAGGATGGAGCAGCTCTCAAGCACCGTGTCCTGCCTGCAAGAGCAACGGGAAACAACCTCCAGAAGAGGATTCCCATGTCCACACCCCGGTCAGGATAACCACAGCTCGGAGCGTGACCATCAAATCTTGCTCTAAATTGTTGCAGTGTGCGTGAGCCCAACAGACACCTGGAGACCTCCACAGCTTTCTTCCCTTTGTAAGAGTTTCCCTTTTTAACAGTTCTGGCCAGAGCCTGTCCCAAAGCATGGGCTGGCTGAAAAGAGACTTTATCATTTTTCTGGCAGATCGCCAAAGCCCCACGTGCATCACAAACACTGATTGTTGTATTAGCCAGTAGAGTTTTCCAAAATAGTAGAATTTCAGTTTTCTCTGCTCAGAAATTTGTTTCTTCAATGCTTTATTATTACAATTATATCAAAAGCCACAATATTTTTTTTCTTTAAATGTTAAAGTTCTTTGTTCATTCTTGTCTCAGAAAGACTTAATTGATTAACATCAAAGTGGCTTCCAAAGGAGGTCTGTGAGGAGAAAGCACGTATAATATCCACTATAAATGTACAAAGCCCTGGAAAAAACATGGCCTAAAAATATAAAAACAACTTAAGTGATGAAATTAGGATCCAATCAAGTTAGTTTCAGATCCTGTCAACTACATTTCTGAATATTCTTGTGGGTAGAATACTTCTATTTTTAAAAGCTGTGTGATAGCAACTCTCCAATTAATTCCTTAGGCTACATGTCAGAAGTTTTTTATTACTAGTTAATTTTGTCATTTCCAGGCTTCACAGCTTCATAAGTTTCTGACAGTTGAACAGTTTTAATAATAGCTCTAAATATTTAGAAATGCCAAAATATGTAAAAATAACCTCTCAAAATAGACAGTGAATGAAATAAAGTAACACCAGTAGATTTTCCCAGTTTTGTTTTCTGATGCCATCCTATCAAGCAAGGGAAGAAAAGTGACATATAACCAAAACAGAAGTATAACAAGGAATTCTTTCCAATAACCAGACCCACAAGAAGAGAGCTACCTTGGTTACTTCTGGTTACTCTGAATTGTGATGACAACAGACACTGTGATGGAACATTTCTCTGGTCTGCTTTGATTCAAGGGAGAAAACAATGATTCACATATTTTAATTTCAGCCTCGTAGTTTTACAGGCACATACTAAATTGTAAATAATCATCTTGATGTTTCTTATAAGTAAAATCTTTTCCCCAAAATATATTCCATTACATTATGTTGAATGTGTCAAGGAAATCAAAGTTAAGAGTTTTCCAGGTTACAGATGAGGCAGGGAGTTGTCAAAGGTCACAGAAGAATCAATCCTAAAGGCAGAGTAATCTACTTTGTGTAGTTACCCATTCAAATTATTAGCTCATGTCCTGTTTCTGCAAATAAAGCTACTAATGGCAATCCTTAACACACACATTTCACTGATCCCAGATCACTCTCAGGGCATTCTTAAGGATAATTTTCAAACAGATAAGGAATTATATGTGAAAAACATATTCTTTGAAATAAGTTGAGGAGTCCCCATCTGAAGCAGCCAACTGGGTGGTAATGCCACAGGATGCAAGTCTGAGCATTTGGTTAACAGGGTCAGCAGCATCACTGACCTTTTCATTACAAAGTGAATTGTTCCTGCAATAGCACAAGGACAGCTCTGGCCCAGAGTGTAACTGGGACACTGCACAGGTCATGACATTGCTGAGCAGAAAGGGCACAGAGTGGTGCCTTGTGCCCTGTGTAAGGTTCAGAGGCAGCTGGGACATCCACAGACCTTAAATTCTGCACTTCTTTCCTCAGCATCTCCTGCAGGGATGAGACCCAGCCCAGTGCAGCATCCAGTGCCCCAGGGCTAGGATCTGAGGGCTTTCCTACAGGCATAGGTTCATCTCTGCACACCACCTGAGTGGGTCTCAGAAGCAATCCCCAGGAGTACTGTGGATAATATTTTATATGACAGTGTGACAGCCCAAGCATCTACATCCCCACCTAAGCCTATCAGATTTGTAACCTCAAAAGCACTTATGCAAAATATGACAATGTTACACTTACTGTTAACAAGTCTGCCTGGTACATGGAATGTGCCTTACAGAATTTTCTCTAAATGTCTGAAGGAGAAATTGATAAATGACTACACAAAAGAAACCTGAAACCATGACCCACCTCTTTCTCCGCATCTTCCAGTTTCTTTTTCTTGCTCTCAGGCATCAAATCATCTAACCAACTGAGCTCCCGCTTGGTAAAAAAGAAATCCATGAGTTTTCGAACAAATACCAAAGCTAGGACCTAAAAAGATATTAATTCAAAGAATTAGGAAATTAAGTAAAACAGACAAATAGACTTGTAGAGGGATTCTTTCAAAAGCGACCAGTTTGTAGCTAGAATTTTATCCTTTAATTTGAACAAGCTAACAGCTGCTATTCCTTTGTTCAAATGAAGTATGGTTTGAAGCATTTAACAATCACCGAGGTCAGTAAATATCTTCTATTTTCTATTAGTGAAATCATCAGAGAAATCACTTAAGCAGCAGATCATCATTATTTCTCCCAGGACACAGAACTGTTAGGCTCCTCAGTTCAATAAGCAGTCTTCCTCAATAAGTGAATGCTCTTTCTATAACAGGATTTATTAGTATTCCTTAAATAAAAAATAATTTTCCCTAAGAGAATATAAGTTGGGATATCCACACATAGACTCAAAACAGAGGTTAAATGTCTATTTTTTTCATTACTTAATACATTATAAATTTTTCTTGAACACAGAATCAAAGCAATATTATAATTAACTACCCAAAATTATATTTTTCGTCAATAATTATACACAAGTGAAAATAATTAGGGATTTTTAGAGGAAATAAAAAACATTCATACCATCATAGGAAAGACAATGGCAGCTCTTGAAACCTTTATAATCCAGAGAAGCACAAGACAACTCAGCTGAATTATAGTGAAGAGATGGACCTTTCTAAGAGGAACATGCCTTAGATAAATAAAATCTGGCTGGTGCTTTGCAGGCATCCAGAATAACTTTATCCTGTCAAAAAGCTGAAAGAGAAAATTTTCCAAGTTTGGATCAAAATGATGTGTAGGATCATCTATGCTGGCATTCACACACTGCCTAAGAAATCCTGACTATCCAAAGAATCTGGCTTGTTATTCTAAAGGCAAAAACTACATAATTAGAGCAGCATAGAAGAGACTCCCTCAGTAACAACCATAAGCCTTTAATCTAGTCCAGCAGTAGCAAAGGATTTGTCTTCTCACCCACTGAGCCACCAGAGTAGGAATGAGAAACATGTCACTTAAGCAAAGTTTAATTTCTTGGTCAGTCATACTTCAGTCCCTTTCCCTTTTAATACACATGTGTCTCCCTAGGTTGTATTGCAGATGTGCTGAGAGATTGAATTCTGCTGCATTACATTCTACATAGCCATACTGCAGGAAATACCATGCTCATTGGATGTTACACACATTGTTACCACACTGGATGTTACAAAGAAGGTGGTTACTTTGAAATAACACTGCTAATTGTGAACTCTAACATTAGGCAAAGCCAGACTTCAGAGTGGTCACGAATCAATTGTGACTCCCAACTGAAAGGAAGCTGGTTGATCCTGTTGGGCATGTGTACTATCACACTGCTTTCCTAATACATCCTAGACTCCTTTTTCAACCACTGAGCTCTGCCTCCTTTAGCACATAAAAAGCAGCTCATAGAGGGACCTCTGCAGTCTTTTGTTTCCTGTGAATGAACAACTTTTCTTTTACTTCACCAGACACTTTATCCCAGGCTGTTTTCATCTCCATATTTCACTTTATTCACAAAACCAGAAATAGAAAAGGAGGGAAAAAAAAAAAAAAAAAAAAACCACACCAAAGGAATGAATGCCAGAAAGCTGACTGCCATGCAGCTAGGAAGGTATGTGAGAGGTTCCTATTTTTCAGGTCTCTTTGGCTCCATACTGACCTGAGACATTTATGTCATGGCACAGTGATGATGGTGATACACCAATTCTTCCTGCATGGATGAGCCATGCTATATTCACACAGCCTTCAGCAGTGTCAAGTTTTGGAAATTTTTATTGAGCATGTGCAAACTGCATTTTTTAAAGGCTTATATTTTGGCCAGATTTGAGTATATTCCTTTTTCACAGAAACAGCAAAAAGCACATCCTCCCACAAAAGCCATCTTATCAAATCTCTATTCCTTATTCCAGCATGGGGGAGGGAGATAGGGAGGGGGATGGTATCACTTTTCCAAGTAAAATAGCCAGATTTCAGCATGTCTTAAAAACACTCCTCAATAGTATAGTGTACTTTTTCATACCTCTGTTCTGAGAAACAGCTGAACCATATTAAATTGAAATTATTTAAACCTCAGTAAAAGCCAAACTACACTTCTTAGAATATCAACCCAAAGGATAAGAGATAGGCAAAGTTAAAAAAGAAGTCTCTGAATAGAGACCATCATTCAAAAAGGAAAAAAAAAAAATCAAACAAAAAATCCGAGCTTTGCCTATAAATGGAGGTAACTTGCAATCAAATCTAATGAAAAATCAATCAGAAAATTTCTTTGCTTTTGGTATTTGATCTTTTGCACAGTATAACATGTGTTTTCACTGTGTGATTGCTCTTTCTCAATTGTCTTGGAAGGTGTGTCAATGCCTCATGGGCTAAAGGATTCGACATTGTGCCACTTCATGCTGCAGTCAGCCAGGAGAAAAAAACACAGTACAACCCCAACCTGAGTGCTGGAATGCCTGCTTTCTGCCAGCTACTCCTACATACGGACACTGCAGGAATGCTGCCCTTCCACTAGACTTGACCCTTCATTCCAAAGTGCTGTGGCTTACAACAGTTCCCCTCCTGGAGTGTTTATTTGCATGAGGAAGATGTTCAAAATTTCACTTACATTAGTTTTAGGGCAAGTTAGCCCTAAAGGCAAAGTTGAAGATAAGTGTAGCTCTGCAAAGGAACTTGAAAAGGCAGCATGCAAGCAAGTGAATGGGGAGGCAGCAGAGAGGGAAGAGCCCCTAATAGTTATTACTCAGATTTTAGGCTCAGCAAAATTCTTTTGATAACAAGAGAGAACAGAAAAATCAGCACCCAAAAAATAGGGGGAAAAAATGGAGCAAATTACCTAAAGGGAATACTCTATTTAGAGAGAATCCATTTTCCTTTTAAGTAGTCACTTTCAAAAATATAAGGTTGGTAACATTCCTTTAAGATTATACACAAAAGCTAATACAATAATATAAAAAGAACAGCAATATTTTTTATTGAAAGCATCAGTGATAACGCACTCATCATAAATCCATTTTACCTGAATTCCCTTTAGAGATGAAGCACCCATGTAAAGAAACACTCCATAAAGCACTGGCATAGGAATAAACTGCACAAACAAGCAGAGAAAGAGAAGAGCATATTAAATACTACTTAACAATTTTAAATGCTTCTAGAAAGACATTCAAAACAGTTGAAATACAAAGTGCCATATGCCTGCATTAATCAGACAAGTTGTAAATTCAGAGTCACTCAATTATAAATTAATAATGTTTCTCAGAGTATAAAGCAAAAGAAGAATCTGGCTCTGTACTTTTATTTTCCTCTCATAGCCAGTTATTACAATATACTTAATTCCCTATTAATAAAATTAACAGAACCACACAAAAAACATTAAAGCCTTAATTTATACTTAAATTCTTTACTTTAAAGACAGCTCAGAAAAATGTTCAAGAGATAAAAAATACTTCCTACTGCTAAAAATAATATTTTGTGCTGTAAGCGTTTAAAAACGGTTGAATGATTCTATGAAATTATTTTTAAAGAGACTATTTATATGTTCAGGTTCACAGCATAAACTTGCAGGTAAATGACTATGTTGATAGAATCTGTTAGAAATACTAAATACACAAAATGCATGTTCTGTGTGTACTCAAAGTGAAGGCTTTATGATATACTTAATAAAATACTGCTGGGAAGTACAAGTTCTAAGGGCTTATTGCCCTCACTGTGACAATAGTCAAGACTAAGTTCTCGTTTTACTAAAGCCAGTGCCAAAACTCTCACTGATTTCACAGAGGCCAGATAATTCTTTAAAAAGTATTACATGTATACATGGTATTATATATGACTGTAACTAGACACCCTTTTTCAGGACATTGGTGAGCTCTCTTGAGTATGCAGGAAGCATGAGATAATTTTTCTGTTCATTTCCAAGAAACAAACCATAGAACTTCTCTTGCAACTATGAAAATATTTTTAAATTACTTGGAAACCACAAAATGTTTTTAGATTATCTAAATAAATTTTAAATTAGTATAACAAGACTGGTTCATGGTAATTTGCCATGGACCCAAAGTATTGACAAAGTGTGAATACAGCTCAATGTCAGAATTCCCTTTGACTTCAGTCAGGCCAGATTTTCATTACAAGGTTTTTATTTTAAAAATGCTAGGCACTTTATTAAGCAAAATTAGAATTCCGCTTTAAACTCTCATTGTGCAATATTATGCTAGTTAGTAATGTGCCTGGAAAGGTACATTATTCGTTAAAAAAGCAGTTACAACAGTGAAATGTTCAGTGCAGTATTCTTTAACTTTCCCTTACTTGCCCCAAATTACCTTTAGAATACTTGTCAAAAAGACAGATGAGCCCATAAGGATAAAAATCATGAGCCCTGTGACTCTTTGCTCCCGGATTCCAAGAAATTTTGGCTGCTCCCCTGGAGCGGAGCACTCCGATTCCAGTTTTAAGCTGTTCACATGGGAAATAGAGAGGACAGTGGCTGCAACAAACCACGGCAATCCCATAATAGAGCACACACCAAGCATCACTGCCACCATGAGTAGGTCGAGGTGGTACCCACATCCTTTCTGTTAAGAAAAGTAAGGATGGAAAGAAGATGTAAAATGACATCTGAACTAAAGAGAACACTCCTGGCAGGCATTCCTAATGAGCAGCTAGAGACAAGTGAAAATTTGAGACTTGTAGGAAAAAAACAGCCTCCTTCTACGTGTTACCCAGGCTGGGTCAGTAAAGACCAGGCAGACTGGTTATCTAAGGGGAACTCATATTGGTTCACACTCAGTGCTCAATGTCACTGGACTCCTTCCAGTTATGAGTTAAGTGTACCACAAATCCACTCTACAGTGGGCACCAAACAGCTTTCCTGCTTATAAAATGGATACTGGTGAGACACTGGAAAATACATCCATTTTCTGGTTTAACTAAGTCTCTTCTGTGACTAACAGTAAGCAGAATATCCAGCTGTGCTGCCAACTTCCCACTGCACTAATCTTAGTAGATCCTCCATCCATTCTTACGAAGAGGTGAAAAAGTATGTCTTTTTATTGGTCCCTACATAAAAATCCATAACATTTCCCAAGTCAGTTAATGTTAGAAGGGGCCATAAAACCACAGTGTTCCTTCTAAAGCTTTTTAAGATGGTAAGCACATGATATACATTTCAGTAATGTACTTTCAATCTTAGATAAGAGAAGATAGCTAGAAAATAAGATACATTAAATTAAAATATAAAATCGGGTACTGGTTTATTGGTTTCCTTACTCAAACATAGCATCATAATATCCATACGAAAAGTCAATACAAAACCCTTGGACTTGGATCACTTCTTTAGTGGCCAAATGCTACATAAATTACCAGCAGGTGGATAATGGTTTGCTTTTGCACATAAAACGCTTTAGTCAAATCTTAGATAAATTTAAAAACCTCCAATAACGACCTTCACTTGAAAAAGAAAAATACATCAATGTATCAAGCTTGGTTCTATAGATATCTGCTACCACAGCTGAACCATAGCTGAGTGGGATATTTCACTTCAATTTTAGCAAGTATCCAGGACTTCCTCACAGCTGCAAGCAGCAGCTCAAGCTATTTTCCTTTAAAAAGTCAGGTAGTTAGCCATCTCCACAAAACTTTGCAATATGGCAACAAATCCAGTGTCATAGTCTGATGAAACAGCGATGTTCATGCAAACAATGTGAATATGTTGAACCATAATTTTGCCTGAAAACCCATGCAAATGCCTTTTGACATAAAAAAAGTAACTAAACTAAACTTGGAAGGGTTTGCTACAGAGACTGCCAAAAGCTGAAATGTGCACTATCCAGAATTTGCTATGGGAAGTATAAAAAAAGAGGGGAAAATGAGTTGGAAGCAAACAAATCATTTCTTTATGAAGACAACTTTTACTTCTAAAATGGGAAGCGTCTGGGTTTATGAAAATGTAAGCCACATATCAAAATGAAAATGCCATCTTATTTGCTTACATTATTTAAAAAGGGGGAAAAGTAAAGAAAATGAAGAGAATCAACTCTAGCAACCTTCCCTCACTCCCCAAAAGTGCTTATGAGTCTTATCTCCAAGACACATCTTGACAAACTCAGAGATGTGTCAAACACAGATATTAGTTACAGGCACAATGCACTCAAAGAAAAGAGTTTAATTCTAAATCCTAACAGAGACACCTTTTTTTACCTTCTGACACATTTATGAGGAATGTATCTGCTAATGCATACAGAATCCGAGAGCATTTCCTCACATTCATACATGATCTGAGGAACCTGACATATGGGAAGAAAAGGAAGCATAGCAACAGGTGATGCTACACCAGACCCCAGCAAAACTAAAACGCAGCAAGACAAGGGGGCAGCCAGGAGGACCATCTGACTCCCAGATGCCAGTGCTGAAAAAACACATTCCAAAGCTTGGCAGCAAATTCCTGCATCTGTCAAGTTAACCACATGCAATGCTATGGATTGACATGAAGAGCCAGGCTGACAAAGAGGGCAAAAAAAGAACATATCAAATGTCACAATCATCCAAGAGGAGGCAATGCAAAGTGAAGGTTGCAAATGCATTTGCTAAAGCAACTTGGGATTGGATTGCTGCTTATTAAAAGTATGTCAAAAAAAAGCCTAAGCTTGCTGCATATACATGTACAGAAACCTGCTGCTAGATTTTGCCCAACAGTTTTTCAGAGGGGTGATGTCCCTTTTTCTCTCTCCATCTGTAGGCAACTAAAGTGTTAGAGAACAGAGCAGGAAGTTGTCCTATGTTGTTTTAAGAACCCATTGTGCCTCTAAGGCTCAGTTTTATTCTTCTCCCTTCTTTAACATAGGAAGGGCATTAAATAAAAGGATGGGTAGAACCACAGAGAGCAGGATGAAGAGAGGGGGAAAAAATCTTATATTACAAAATAACCCCTGAGTAGTTTTTAAAAATCCAGTCCAGTAGAACAACACTGCCAATACCTGAAGAGACAATTAATATTGTGGTATTTAAGGAGATTATCAACTTGAAGGTATTTTTTTAAGTTAATGAATCCTACTTCTACTAAAGCACAGGAGGCAGCACTTTCTTAACTCAGGATCTGTATCCCAAATAACATTCATAAAGTCTTCTGTAAGGCAGTGGATCACTGACACAGGTACCACACAGACCAACAAATTAAAAAGCATAAAAATTTAAAGGGGTTCTATATAATATATAACAAACTAGCATACTGAAGTAGTTGGATGCACATTACATAATCTGAAGCAGAAAACAACAATGAAAGTATAAATTTTGACCACATACCTTTAGTTTGTGTTCTTTTCTATTGATAATGACAGCTGTGATCTGCTGGTCCATAAAGATAAGGATAGTACAAAGCAGGGCTGGAATTATAGCAGCTATCACTGTCCACCAAGGATTAGGCCCCAAAGGAGTAATAAACCAGCCACGATCATCTCTGGTGGGCTATAAAAACGGTAATGCATGGCCAATCAGAACTGTAAGGATTATTTACATTTCAATTTCACAAGAATACATACAAAACATTATTAGGATAGGACTTCCTTTAAAACCAACCTATACAGAGCACTTCCTTTATATATAGACTTCCTCTGATGCCAAATCAAGAAATTACATATAATAAAATCATCTGGATTATTGCAGACTTGGTTATACTTGATACAGTAAACCTAAAATTTGGAAGAAGCCCCATAACATTACAGTAGTCTGGGATTTGGGTGATTTGAGCCCTGTTAATTTCTGCAGAGATAACATTAGGAAGCATGAAAGGGCCTGAGGGGAGAGGTTCACTTACATGATACATAAATCAGAGAGGTTGCATAATACCTTGTGAACACAAAAATTTTAAAACACTACTCCCTAATGATGATGAAAATAAACAATTATAAACCCATCATAGTAGATTACTTTGCAAAATGATAAAGCAGTGCAATTTATCAACAACTTACCTTAAAAGCATTTGGAACCTGAAGTTTTGGTGATGGAATTCCAATGGCATAGTCAATTAAAACCATGGACAAAATAGTGAGAAAGACAGCAAAATCGCTGACAACAGAGCGTACCTACGATTATTGAGAGAAATTACAATTTTAACTAAAACATTCATTTTTCTTCACAGTTTTAGTACAGCTTACAGCTAAAACCATGCTTATTCTGATAGAAGTTTCTAACAGAGGAAAGATGCCCTGTCTACTTCCCCAGCAGTTAACTGAATTTGTAATGCAGATGGAATTTGTGCTTAGACATGACCAATGACAACTTTTGAATTGAAATAGGGGCACACACCTTTGTTGGGAAGTATCGGCTGGTTTTGAACTGCTTCAGAGTGGATGAGAGCGTTACTGTAGAGAAGAACAAGATGACAGACCAGAAGAGCACATCTGGAACGTAGGGGCCATGATGACCACAGGCTCGCCCAACAAACTCACCGTGAAACTTCTTACATTCCTATCAGGGACAGAAAAAATAGTATTGTTCTAAAAATTTTCCATGCTTACACTAATGTTTTCTTTCCAATTTCTTTCCTAAACTGTATTACTAGAAATAGTAAAACAATTTCTAGATATTTATTCTGTTAATACTTAAAACTCATTATGTGTGTATATAGTCTGCATGGAAAATTCCCAAAGGAATCTCTTTTTTAGCCATATTAAATGATGACATCGCTAAGACATACCATAAATAAAGTCATTAACAAAAACAGGGTATTTTCAAACTCAGCAAGTATACTGATTTATTTTCTGTGTACAAATACAGATTTACACTTACTAACACTCTCCAAGTGTGGAAAACAAAGTTCAAAAGGCACAAAGTCTGCTCCTGGTGCGTTTTCAAGAACTGCTTTTTTGTTTTCTCTTCACAGCCCCAGCAATTGGAAAAGAGCTATTCAGGACATGAGGCATTGGCCTAAAAGGAGCCAAATACATTTAATACCGCACGGGGGCAGCACATCCTGCAAATTGTCTCTCTCTTACAAAAAGATATGATAAAATGCACGAAAACCCTAAATCTTTACCATAAATTATATTTAATATAATTTATTATCAATATGCAGATGCAGTAGAAAGTATTTTCAGTACTTCTCCACTACTATCCTTAGTTGTCTAAAATCATGAAGAATAACTCCAGAAATGTGAGCTACCAGCTCTGGACTCACAATCCTTTCCTTCTTCTCAATCCCTCCACACTTACTAAGAAAAATGTAATGCAGCATCCAGAATCAGGGATTTCAGGCAGAAATATCCTGCCAGATCAGAATCTTTTTGTATTAAATCAAGTGTGTCATTGGCTCATCACACTCGCTGCACAATTATCCTGTTATGGGAAACTTCGGCTTAGAAAAGAGATTGCCTTGGAAAAAAACACAATTGCTATTTGATGACTGTGAGACAAAGGAGTGCAAGGTTTTTTATACTGCTATAGCAGTAAACTTGGGATGAAGTTCATCATATGCCTCTTGAAGAGGATTTTGTCACCATCAAAATCCTCTTCACACTTGTCCAAAATCCTCTTCATACTTGGTCCAATGTCCTTTGCTCACACTTGGTTTGTCTTGATAGTAAAAAATAATCACTGGGTTTTAAGAGAGAATGAGAATCCAGATCTTCAAAGACTTGAAACATTTCAACTAGACACAAGAAATATATGAAGATATGAGCAGTAGAAGAGACCTAATGGGGTGAGTCTTGACCAAATATTTACAGACATCAATGTCTCATCTCTTCCTGTAGTTCTCTAGAACAGAAGTTTCTTGATGATGCTTGCAAGAAACAAAGATATAAAAGTACGGGAAAAAAAATCAGTTATTTCTTTGACAACTCTAGGGACTCATGGGAAAAGTTGGTCAGTTATAATGCTACCTATGTAAACTCAAGTTTTGGTAATAAGCTTTCACAGAAGTTTTTAAGGGTTTTATATAATACAGCCAGTCTTTTACATTTATAGTTAAAACAAAATCTGTTATTTTAAATCTCCTCAGCTGCAAATGTACTCTGAAAAACACTGTCAGAGATCTGAGAAAGTGAGAGGAGGAGTCTGCTCCTGCACAGATGCTCTTAGAGTGTGCTGCAATTTTGAGAATATTCATTCTGGACTGCTGGAATCCCTCAGGCCAGCAGTTCCCAACTTTCTTTCTGCTGTTGCCACACCAACAGAGTTGAGGAGCAGTCCCTGCTCAGAGGAAGGCATAGAAGCAAGACAGAGCAGCCATGGAAGACAGCTCTTACTTAACATGAGCTCTTCTGCATTCCTGCCTTTGAAAAAAAAAAATAGTATCTTCTGGAGACAGTCCGCTGGATTGGCTTTTAAATGTTCAATTTGATTATGCCTACAATTTGGGTAATTCAGTTATCTCTTCAGTCTGGTGTCTTTCGCACTCAATTCTCTTTGACTGTGTACTGAAATGATCCATTTACGAGAAAAAGCGGTGGCCCAATCTCAAGACAACATTTTAATGAAGTTGTAAATGTCACTTTGAAGGCAAACTTGAATTATATGAATCCTTTAAACATAGAAAAGTGTACTGTTAAGAAACTTGTTACATATTCATGCAAGCCCCACTAAACTGTAGCTTTATCCCCTTCCTCCCCTGGGAAAAGAAATTACAGAACTTGTGTGAGAAAAAAGTGGTCACTGAAGAGAAAATGTTACAAAATTTCTCCCCATCCTCTTTTTTATAGCCTGAACTATTGCAAGAGTATTTTAGGGAAAATAAATGCTTCTGATTCTTTCTACACAAGGGAACTTTGGTTTAGCCATCTGGCAGAATTTAGGACAAATTCATTGTCATTTGACATGTTTGACTTAATCTCAGCCAAGCTCTTGTGCTAATGTGTCAAGAAGGTTCCAAAGCAGGGCATAAAATGCACACACTTGCTGCAAAAAGCTTTCAAAAGGAGATAATGCACAAAGTTCATGTTAATTTTTGGTAAGGATCTTTTATTATTTATTTGAACAAATATGAGCAGGAAAAAGTGTATTTTTTAACATATTTGTTGCAGTAAGATGGACAAAATTATTTATGCCTATGCCTTTATTTATTAAGCTCCAAAATTTACTTACTGACACTGTTAGGTTCCCCCATGGCACATCAGATGCAGATATATTGTAGTCCTGCCAGTACTGTAAGGTTTTATTGCTAGGATGTTCTGGTTCCACACAATTGCATCTGAAAATAAATAGTTTTTTTCCTTAATAATAAAAGATATATCAGACAAAAATCCCAGTTATCAGATTTAATGATACATTGTAATTATGTTCTACATTGACAGAATTTTAGTTCAAATGAGTTCAGTAAATGCATGCTTTGAAGCAGTTTGTAGTTCAGTAGCTAGTGCTATTACTGGAGTATCATTTGCTGTGAGGTGCATATGCATATATAGTACGTAACGTGACATATTCAAACCAATGATCACATTCAGTTTTACCACCTGTTTTCTCCCTCAGCTATTGATACTTCTGAGCACAGTTTGTAACACTGAGAATATGCTGGTGCTGTTCCACCCTCTTACACGTAACACTTCTCTCCATGGACATTAGATGCTATGTACAGTTCCAGGCTGATCCATTTCTCAAATAACAAACTCTCTGTATCCTCTTTCTTTCCTAGATGCAGAAGTGCCTTTGCGTGCAAAATTGCCTAACTACCCAGTCAGCTGTCAGGGCTCTGAATGTCAGGATCACCAGCACCAAAGGCTCTCTGAACTCTGTGTCCCTTGTTTTTCCTTTTCCCACAGCTGCTGTAAAAGCACACTTTTCATTTCAAATTTTGTATTTTAACACACAAAATGTGACGAGGCAGTGTAGGAGGACAATAAGTAATTTAAAAATAAGTAATTCAAAATCAAAATTAAGTCTTTAAAGCCTCTGAAGCAACTGTGGGAGGCTTTTTCTTTGACAAAGCCTTCAAAACATCCAGGATACTCTGTAGGATCCAAGATGTCAAGTGCGCTTTGCAATTCTCTTTAAATTATTCTTACTTTAATAATCTATAGCACCATCTAATCTGCTAGTATTTTAACGTGCTTATGATAAATTAAAATAAATTGTGTACTCTCTGATAAAGTTTTCAGGAGTAGCTGGGGACAGTATAACATCTGACTATCACGTGCAAAGCCACTGAGCATAAATTGCATTACAGCTGTAGCAGAATATCAGTTTATTCACTTACCTATGCCATCTATTTTCTATGTGACTGTTTATCTTTCCACAAAATGACAATACTAATCTAGATTTGTATGATTTTCTATGTACGAAATTCTACCATCTACACCATGAGGACACAACACTGGCATTCTATTTCAATTACAATACTATACATGTGACAACAGCTGCATTTAATACATAGAGAGGAAAAGATGCAGGTTGTCTTTGTGCAATTCCTTGCTTATTTTAAATGCAGCTCTTTCCAAAAGAAAGATAAAACCCTCACAGCCCATGAACAAAAACAAAAAAATAAAATAAAGCAACTGCATTCAGAGAAGTAGAGGGCCTGAGCCAAAAGTCCTTGACTGGATCTTTCAAACATATTTAATATGCTTTGGATCAGGCCCTAAGTGCAGAATGAATGCGTGTTCAATGCGTAGTTCCAACTACTACAAAATGGGGTAAACGAAGCACATGACTACCAGTGAGCTACAGCAGCAGAATAAAGCCAGCAAACAGTAGGGCTGCATCACGTATTGCAAGGGAGTATTGGATGTTCATGCAGCAATGCAGAGGTGGCTGTGTCAGGTTACTGCTGTTTTCTGGGAGCACAGGAGCTCCCTGGCCCTGGTGTCCATCGCCGATCGCAGGCTGGCCGGGCCGTGGCCCGCCGGGGTTTGATTACAGCAGGCCAGGGCGGCATGGGCTGCTCACTCAGTCACTTCCTCACTAGAAGGGGACACTGTGCCTGTCGCCAGCACTACATGGTACAGCTACACTTGCTGCAAACTGCAAAATTACATTTAAAGGTTAGAGTAGCCAAAATTTCTGTTTCCTCCGAAACGTGATACTTGAAGCTATAGTTTAATACACCTCAGGTAAATCACCTTCAGATGAGATCACCTTTTTATTTCCATAGCAACATCACTTTCCTCCTGCACAGCATTCCAGTCTGGTCTTTACCAAGTTTCACAGGCATTTAGCAATGGCAGACTGATCATCAGCAAATAAGTGACTTGTGCAAACTACACCCACGAAGACCAAAATCGCCCAGCACAGTGCTTCTGTCACTGAATGAGGGCAGAGCTAGGCCCTAACTGCAGAGATCAGATCCTGTTTCTACTCAGACGATCATTCAAGCAATGATCTCAGTGTTTTGATATATACAACATTGCATTACTTTCAATACTGCATGTGTTTTGGCAACACTGACATTCTGATGTGAGATTATACCACGGTATTACTGTCTTCTAGCATCCCACTAATTGCTTAACATTATAGAACTGTGAGATAGCAAAACACTCCCCTCCATCCCAGAAAATACAAATGAAGGTACCATTCAGTGCCAAAACATAAAAACATTATCTACCAAAATGTGTTGTTTCATAACAGATTTAATTGCTTCAATGATAACTATTTCCCAAAGTAACTGACCTTCAAGGAAAATCACACATTAATGAAATAATGCTTCCTACTTTAATCTTTTCAGTACTTTAGTCCCTTTCATTGCCATTTTTACTTTGAGTAGTTTTGCCAGAAAAAGCAAAATACGCTGAATAGTTAACACTAACACATCCTTCTATTTTCCTGATAAAATATTACTCAAAATGCTGGAATAAGCAAAAAATTATTTCCTCTTGGGGGTTCAAATGCTCTTACATTCTGGTAAAGTTGTTTCAAGCGCTGAGCACTTGCCCACAACAAGGGGTCTGTGTGGAGTTTATGCTATTACCAAATGAGTAATAGACTATACAAAGACCTGTCCTTTCTAAGCAACATATTCATCTTTAAACACAGTACCAACTTAGCAATGTACTCTTGTGTCTTTGAGTGATGAGTCAGCAATCATCTTCCTGATACTAAAAGATTCAGAAGGATTCTTTCGATTCTCTTTCATCGTGGCTAGAATAAAGACAGGAAAGAATCTGGCACTGGTTGTGGTAGCAAATGCATAGGTGTCACTATGCGGGGGGGAATCTTTGCTGCCAATCTCAACACATCCATTTCATCACATTGATGCCAGAAATAAATAATTTTTCATCTTTATACTTTTGGATATGGCAAGATATTCTGATCTCCTGGTAGCAATTGATGTTTAAGCATAGGTGGCTGTACACTCCATGGTATCTGTAACCTCCATGATGAGTTGGCACATATGAGAGGATCTTTGTTGACTTATACCTGTGCAAAGCAGCTGGAGGCTGAGAGATCTAAAATGACACTAGATACCCAGTCACAGGTCCCTACCTGCATTTAATATGTCCATATTTTGCATCTAGGCAGATATCTGTGGGGTTTGGTTTTTTTTTTAGGGTATTTAAAAATCTAATACAACCTAATAAAAAGTGGATTATACTTCTGAGGTAGATAAATAAACCATTTCAGACAAGATAGTACTCAGACAACTCAGAACTTTTGTAAGATTAGAGCTGACAAAAAGAGAATGCAACAAAGAATAACCTGAACTTGCTAGCTAGAAACAATAACCAGAGCAAGGAGTCTTTATTGCCTATACACCTTGCAAAGTGCTCAAGAAATCTCTGGCAAATGGGAATGGAGAATAATGGTATATTAGAAATAAAAAAAATTAGGACTATCACAGATGGGTATCCGCTGTAGCCTGCATCTCTCCCTTTTTATAGGAGGATCAAAATTTCAGCTAAATCTTCAGCACCAATTCAGCTATAACAGTATAGGCAGTATGAGGTCACGCCCCACTTCCCTTCTTTGTCTCCCCTAGCTCCCCACAATTTCTTAGCCGTTTTAGGCTTTGGTTTGTAAGTCTCAATTTTTTTTCATTAATTAGAGGCAGCCATCCTAACTTCACTGCATGCAACATCTACAACTTGTCCTGTTTTCAGAGAGCAAAGCTAGGGTCTGACAGCAGCTTCATGAAATCTCAGAAAACTAGTAGTGATCTTTGTTCCACAAAAGGAACAGTTATCACTATCCTTAATAGCACCAAAAAGACTGTCTGTATGATCCCTCTTTCTCTGGACTATGGGAAAGGGAATATTAGCTAGCAAACTAAAAACCTGTCACTTTTTATGTCAAGTAGTGGAATATTTTCCCCCTCCTTTTTAGATTAGCAATAAAACATAAATACCATGGCTGTTCAACAACTAATCAGGTAAAAGGTTCTGTACTAAAAGCATTTTCATCCTGACTGTAATTTTCTGTTAGCTGCAAAACAAGAAAATTATTACCTACGTTTATTTATTCAATTCAAATTAAGCTCAGTCTAGTCCTTCCAATCCTTACAATATCCACCTCTTACCCCTGATTCTTCAGCTTGCTTCTTCACAATTTTCTTCACTTTACTCTGTGATGCATGCTCTGCTCCCCACACAGACTTTAATGTAGCATGGTGGCAGTCCAGCTTCAAAAGAGAGCCTCAGACAGTGTTTTTGTGAGTAAATAAACCACACTTAAATGGTGCAGCTCCCTTTGAAAGCCCCATGGCCATTCATCCCTCGGCAGTTGCCATTTTTCAGTAGCAGGTTTTCAAGACTAGGAGGCACTTAGTATTGATGATTTTATAAAAGTCAACAGGCACTGGTTTGGATCTCTTATTTTTCCAGCATTTACATATGGTAAGCTCAACTTATTTATACTAGATAAGGATATGAGCTATAAAAGATGCAACTGCAGCTTCTTCCTGATTAGTCAATATACCATTTCCCCTTCCTAGAAGCGAAAAATGCCTTTCTGGCTCACTTAAGATACCCTGAGAATGAGATTTGCTCAATATGAATATTTATAATACTTCAGAAACTGCAGGCAAGTATGACAAATAAGTTGCAAAATGTGCTTGTTTAAACAATATGTCTCACTGAATATCAGAGCACATATTTGGTAGTATGAGTAGGAAGGTTTTCCCCTAGCACAGAGGACGCTCTGAGCGTGCTGTGCACTGATCACATAACACAGAGGAAGATGAAGTATGAAATGGAAGACAACATCACTAGGTTTGTTTTTAAAGTAAGGTATATGTGTAGGTATTCTTTACGTTGCCTTTACAAGGCTGAAGTATATTAATAGCACTATGCTATGCATGTTTAGGCTTTCTCCAAATAACACCATTTTCATAGGAATTATGGGCATTCACAGAATCCTTCTGTTTGTCTAACAACTTCTATGGGAAGAGGATAACAACAGTATCATAAAATGATATCTTCTCTGATTTCTCATGCCTACAATACCTGCATACAATAGCCTGGTATTTTATTTACCATATATTCCTTCTTGTGTCAACCTTCATAACAACTAAATCAAAGCTTAGTGGAGAAAAGACTGGAAACAAAATAATTAATAGTGATGGAAAATGAACTTGTCAGTTAAGTTCTATTCTCAGTATCATGAAACTCTTTCACAGCACAGCTGTCATAGCAAGACAAGGTTTTTTTCTTCATTTATTTATGAGATCTGCCATCCTGAATTATGACCACTGTTATGTGGCCCATCTCTGACAGTCACGAACATCAGTAGGCATCCAAATATATTCTCTCAGGTTAGAAGTCTGTATAGTTTAGTTGGTTAAGTTCAGGAGGAAAATAGAAAAGCCCTAAACAATGCACTCGGCAGTACAATAGTTTCACGGAGAGAGAAACAAATATAAATCTGAGAAAGGGAACTGATGTTAGCCTGAAGAAATCTCAAAGAATCATGTTCTTTTGGATAGCACATCAGGAAGAAAATGTTTTTTTTTCAAGGGGAAAGTCTAGAAAACAGATTTATAATCATATTGTAGCTTTATTAACCTCAAAGGTTGGGTTTTATTAGCTATCCAGTGCAGTATGCAGTCCATGCATTTGCAGCAGCACTATGGTATGTAAATGCCATAGACAGAAGCTCCTGTGCAGAAAAGCAGTGCAACTATAGGGGATATTGACAATTCATCCAAAAGCTTTCACTGTGAAATATTTCTAGGATGTCACTTCACCCTGCTTCCAAAGTTAAGAGCGCATACACTTGAGGAGAAGAGGTTCAGTATAATGCTGGTACCGACATAATTACTGCAATACATTGCAGTGCTATACGGTCAGCTTGAGTTTCAACTATGCAGGTGCAGTGCATCAATACACATAAAAGTACTGTAAAAAAAACACCCACAGATTTTATGTAAGCCTTCCTAGATTTTGAAGGCATTGTGTAGACCAGCTCTCAACTACAAACTGAATGCTGTGGGGATTGCTTAACTAGGAGATCTATTTCCAAAGTGGAGAGGATGAGTAGTAGGAAAGAACAAAACAAGGTGGGCACTCTCTGGGTTCAAATGAAGGAGAAAGAGACAAACAATCAGCTGAGTTGGGCAGGCACAGAGAAGTCCTGGAAAAAATAGAATAAAGAAAAAGAAAGCCTGGATTCCAAAGTTTGTCAAGAAGCAAAAGGGAACCAGCAGTTAAATTCAGTGATGGCACTTGCATGGTTCTGGGAAGAAGAGGGATATTCTTAAGGAAGCACACACAGTATATGGCACAGTTACTTAACTGTAGGAAAAAAACTATAAAGAAGGGAAACAGAAAATCTATATTCATATCTAACCTTAAAGAAATAATTACAGGAACTGAAATTCAATTACATGCCTGGGACCATAATGAGCAATACTGTGCTCATCTCATCACTGGCTTTTCTCATTTCACCTGCAGCTTAAGGGATACGGGGTATAAACAAACCTAATTTGCATCCAATAATGATATATTTGGATTAATTTATATTGATAATGGAAGATTTAAAACTTGCTTGTGCAAACAGCAGTATGCACAAAACTAATCTTCACAATGCCTTCTAGAAGCAATAGTTTCTATAGCCTGGAATGATGCTGAGATTGACATGATCTTGGCTCCCTAATTACATCAGAGTGGGATTTTCTACTCCTAATGCTTAAGTGCATGTCAATACCAAGACAGATTGCAATATGCATATTACTATGCCAAGAAATCACTTTAAAATTATTCAATGTAATCTGTTAATAATTGAGTAACTTCTGGTAAAGAATTATTAAAATAACATGAATTCATCACTTTGAAAAAATAATTAATAAAAACCAAAAAGGTATATAAAATTTCTTTATATAGCAAACAGATAGATAAAAATCTAAGCAACCTCACCCTGAGAAATAACTGAACTTCTGTATTCTAAGATAACTATCTTAAAATTCTTTTATTTTAAAGAATACTGGATTGCTTTCTAAATCACATTCCTTTCATCCACAATATTTATTCTGTTTTCCTTTTAAAAAAGGGAGGCTTATCTGCTCCAATATGGGGCTCTCTTTTCCTAGCAAAAATAACATTTCAATATACACTTAAAAACTGATGTGCATCAGTGTTCCAGACAGGTTTCACTAACTGGAGATATATTTGCTACCAGGGTAGGAAAAAAACAGGAGGAGAGAGTGCAGAAATAAGAGTTGCTATGCCAACCTACAAATGCTAATGGCATGACAAATATAAAAAGGTCACAAAAGAAAAGGGAAAGAAAACTCTGATCAAGAAATATGTGTATTTAATTTAATAAACAACGTAGCTACTCTATTCAAGTTCCTTCAAAACAATACAGCTTAAAAATAAGAAAATACAGCACAGTACTACACTGAAAATCAGGTTATCTTTGTCCTTCATTTGATTTATCACTTAAATGCCTTATTCTTTATCATCCATATCAAAAATATGATGTTTTAGGCAAAAGTTATATATAAATGCTGAATGGATTTGCCTGTAATTAGATCACTTATTTAAATACAGAGTAAAAAATAAAATTTAAAAATTAGTAAAAAGTGCATCATGTCTACTTTTACATTAATTAGACCATGCAAAAAGATATATTTGTCATTTTGAGGTAGAATTCAGTAACAAGCTCAAAACCTATCTTCTACTTAAAATGGTAAAAAGCTAAATGCAATTATTAGGAAATCTTTTAGTAGGACTTTCAGTCGATTTTCAAATATTTGGGTGTGCTTGACTGAAAACTAAAAAAAAAAATATCCCAACTGTTCTGAATGTTCTTCCCCTTGTCTTCTAAGGTGTATTATGGCAAATATTAGTAATGACTCCTATACTCTCAAATATAAGAGAGGCATGCAGTGCAGTCTTTTACATCAAGTTCCTGCAACAGAGACTGTTTGTAACAGAATTCAAGGCCACCAAAATACAGAATGGGTTTTCTTTCTTACTTGAAATATGGTTTCAATCTGGTTGAATCACCAACCATTTAAAATTACTGTTTTCTTTGTCTTTCTAGTACTCCAAAGAGAGCAATAACAGAATGCCAATGACTTTTCTGGGTCAAACTCATGTCTTCACCAGGGCAAAGGAACAATACTGGCATGTGGACAGACTACCTGTGGACATCAGAGCATCCTCAGAAAACCCATGGGAGAAAAGCAGACAGCTGGGCCACAAGCATACATTAAAAATTTCAAATATATTCAGTGTTCTGACCAATTTATCATCAACTTTTTGAGTGGGCAACAGAGAACACAGAAATTTTACAATGTAACCCAAGTTTTCTAGCATAAAATTACAGATCCAAGATAAAGTTTTACATAAGCTTTGGTTAAGCATTCAAAGATAAATGAGTTGCTCAACTTTTTGAAGATCACCCACGGCTAATTAAAGACCTGCCAAGGCTTTACTAACAATTAAAAACTTGTCTTTAAAATCCCCAAAGAGGAAAATGCAAACAGCTGTTTTAATTAGCAAAACAGCAGATACTAATTAGCTTCTGTAACAGAGTATGCTGGTCCTTTAAGGACAGGACCAGTTTCAGCCCAAGTTTGTTACCCATTTAAGCTACAAGTAGAAGGATTGGAATCAGATGCTGCAGGAAAAGCTAATTCCTTGCAAAATCAGTATTTCCCAACGTCAAGTACACAAAAGAGAGATTTTTATTTTGAGTAAACTTTCATGTTTTTCCATCTTTTAGTTTCTTATCTTTCCAGAACTGAGTTGTGTACAGATATCTGAGCAGAAACTGAGAGTACTTGAAATGTCTTGTGATGATCCCATGGGGATGAAAATTGTGACATCTCACCTTCTGGGCAAAAGGCCACTGGATCTGGACAGCGTAACACTAATATGTGCACATTTGCACAGCAAGCCCATGGAGTTCAGGCTGCATCAAGTCTGCTGTGAAATCTGATTTGGGCACCTGATGTAGAGTTGTTGCAACTGACCACATCTTTCAATTCTCCCAATCTTTGGGACTGGTTCTGAACAACTAAGAAATCTCAGATGAAAGAGAAAGGAATAGAGAGAACAGGAGAGGCTGGAATTAGCCTTTTGCTATGTTCAGATCCTTGGATAGCAGGAGATATGCTCTTACAAGATAATCAACATCCACTGATTGTCAGTACACTGCCATTTCTAGAAATCTGTTTAAAAGCTAAAAAAAAATAAGTCCCATCCCATAAGACCTCTATGTCTACAGCTAGGCATTTTGCTATTAGTGGGGTCAGTTGCTGCAGGCATGATTGATAATAAACAGGAACATGCTGCAAATAGAAGATATAATGTATAAGTGCCAAATGTGAGATTTAATACAAGAGTTTAAAAATCAATCTATTTTTACTATCTACACAGAGTGAAAGAGTAACTGAAAATATAGGTATGAAATAATAAACTCAAATAACTACAAAAATAGTATATCAAATAAGTTTGATAACAGTGGTATTAAATAATTCTGATATATGTGTTTGAAAACACCAGGCAGTGGTGAAGTCTTTCTTCCAAACATCTGGAAGACACTTATCTTTCAGGAGTTGTGTTTGAAAAATCTAAAACTGTTGTGCTGGTATTACAACACTGTAGGCCAGTACAGGTCAATAGGTGTAACTGGAGCATGACAAAGGCTTCTCTTTTACCACTCTGTGTGTACTGCACATTTTACATTCATTGCTCAGCTACCAAGAGCAGGCAGCATTAAAACACCACCCTTCAAAAACCAGTCTGGGATTCTGGTTACTGAATGGTGCTCTAACGAAAACAAACAACATTTATTGATTAACACAAGGATTCTATTATATTGACAAAATATAGACATAACTATGACTGTACCCCCACAAGCAGGACTGTTAAACTCATTTCTCTCAAATCTCTAGCAATATTATGGGATTCAGCTAACCACTAATACAGTTACCCAGGAACTCATGTTTCTATTTCTGCTCACGCTTTCCATGACATATTTCAATAACTCTGCTGCACCTGGTAAATGTTTGCTAAATATTTTTTTTGTCTTTGTATAGCATTTCAACATCTGATTTTCAAAACAAGAGGAGGACATCATGTTTTCTTTCCCTTTGAGACAACTACTTTGCAGTGGTAAAGGAAAAGAAAAAAAATCTGCAAAGACTCTGCTATATGAAGATCTTCAGAGTAAAATACCTACTTCATAGAAGGTGAGTAAAGTTATGTAAGAGGATATAACCTCAACTGCATGCATGGTCTTGATGTCTGTTGCTTTCTCTTCAAATTAATGTTCCTTTGTCTACTGACTAAACTATTAGAGAGGAATAATAACATTTTCAGCATGACGAGAGTATGTCACGGCAGAACTATAGTTTCTCTAACTTGTTCCATGTATTAAGGTATAAAATCCTCAGATTCGGGATTTGCTAACTATTTTTCTAGTGATAATATACACAAAGCTCAAATGTTTTCTCTGTTGCTGTGTTCTGTTTTTCCCAGCTTAAAATGCAAATGAGACATTTGGTTGAGACACTCCTGTTTTTCCAGTGAACAGAAGATGTGGCACTGTTCAAGCACAGTTGCTTTAGGGCCCCACCCAGCTCATGCAGAGGGTTCAAATGGGTTCAGTGAAATGATAAAGACATTTCTGGAGAGGGATTTTCATTGAAAATGCTTTTTAATTAAATTTTATTTACTGATGTGACCAAGCTTAACTGGCCTCAGGGCAGACTAGGATCTTGTCCTTTACTAGAACATTTTCATTCTCATATCACAGAAACAGGTCTATAAGGGTTTACTTCTCAATGAAACAATATTGATAAAAGCAATTAACTTTTTTTATTCCCCAAGTAGATTTGTACCTGTTTAAACTTCACAATAAAGTAAAGCTGTTTAAATGGAGCTAGATTAAAAATCTTAGTATTAAGAACAAATTGATTATGAGCTACTGAGGTGCACGTAACAATTTCAAATCTACTTCAGCTCTTGTAAATTAAGCTCAGACCTAAATACCAGAAAGGTGAAAATAAAGGAGGTACATCAACTTACAACCTTTTAGAAAGGTGAATATTTCAATTTGGGAAAAACACAAAACAAAACAAGATAAATAAGACATACAAACATTACCTGAATATCCTGTTGCCATTTAAAGATTATAAATCATAAGTACAAGGTTACAGGAAGAGACCATGAATTAAGTCTCATTAAATAAAAATTAATAGAGACTTAAAACCAAGGTCCCTTTAAGTCCTATTTTTAATTCTAGGATTTCCAGGTTAATTATGCTGAAGCTTTTCCCAACTTCAAATATATTGGAGGAAATATATTTTTTATTTATCTTAAGTAAGTGTGTCCTTCTTGTACAGATCTCCCCAGTAATTACTACTTCCATAAGACAGCATAATGACTGAGCAGCTTCCACCAAACTTTTCTTGCTGTGCTCCCTGCAGAGAAAACAACCTATGGAAAAAATACTCTGAAAGTTTAACAGAAGAAATCTTACTTACGAGTACTTTGTCAGCAGCTCCAGATTATTATGCATGTTGATTGGATACGTCTCACTGAGATGAAACAGCTTCTCTAAGGCCTCATAAATGAAAATGATGCAGATAAGAGAAGCAAAGGCTTCTTCAGTAAACCGGGTAATGTAGCAGACTAGGGAGCTTGCATCAGTTGCAACAAGAATGATGCACAGGATTGCAGTCCACAGCCCAATGCTGGCTCTCAGAGAAAGGTATGACAGCCCATACTCTCTAAAAAGAAGGGGAAAAAAAAAAAAACAACTCACTTAACCTTTTGTCCAGACACAGTAAATGGAGACAAGGCAGTTCCAAAATTTCCTTTTTGCGGACGGTCTGAATCACGAATTACATACTTAATGTGAACAAAAGATCCTATCAAGTCACCTCCTGACCAGAGCTCTTCCCCCAGTTAACAGGACACAAAGAGCTCTATCTCTATTAAAGTAATCACATGAGCAGGTTTGAGAGTAGTCACACATAAAGTGTATAAGGTCTACTCACTCTTTATTCCTTATCCTGCTTTGTGAACAGCCAACACCTGTCAATTTCTTTTTAAGCTGTGAAAGAGTAGCTATAACAACTTTAATCAAAATTCTGTAAGCTTACTGCATATGATAATAGAGCTGCAAACACACCGTGTGACATTACCACAGCAAACTGAAAGGTCTGTCTGAAGGTGCGAGAAAATTTGAGTGCTAAGCAGGGTTTCCTACTTTGTGTTGTGCAGGAGATCCTGGTACAGAAGTCCCTGTCACAGCAGCGAGGCAGAAAAGCAGACTGGATGGCAGAGAAGCATGATAGCTTCCAAATGGAGACATAATTTTTACCCACACTGTGGCAGGGACATGTCAAGTACAGCGCATTAGCCTAAATGTGGCTCTTGTGGCATGACACTTCACCCCCTCTCTGTCCAGGTGATGGAATGGCATGGTCTGTATTAGTGACTACTGAAAGAGGGTACCACTTCTGCAAGTGGTACCACTTTCTTGATGAGTACACTTGGTACTCATCAAAAAAGTACTGCATGCACTTTCTTGGTGAGAGGCAACACCCTTCAAGTTAGGGATGAGATAAACCACTGCCTTAAACATATTGTCTCAAGAGTAGAGAATGATAAAATTAAAAAACAAAAAACAACAAAAAATCCCCACAAACACCCTGAAGCTGTCATTCCCTTCAAAACAGCTGAGGGAAGGGGGAAGAAAAGAAGGGAGGAGAGTTGAAAAGCAACAAAAGCCCAAAATTTAAGAAAATTCACCTTTCTGTGTTATGAATTCACACAGAATTTTTAGGCTCTGCAACATGATAAAGACAACAATTTATTTTGTAGTGCATTGCTTAGGATTTCAACTTTGGGATAGCTGTCTCTACTTTTACCTAGCAACAAATGAAGGATGAGGAATATCATGATCTTCACTTACTTGCAAAATTTGAATAAGATCTTCTCAAACACTAAAACTGGTCCTGTGCTGCCAAGTATAGTGAGAGGCTGTCCTCCAAAAAGAGAGTAGGCAATTCCAGTCATGGATGCTCCGAACAGCGATTCTATTGCACTCTGAATGTGATACAGAGAGAAGTGTCCATAAATTTTCAAACAGGTTCTTTTTGCAACGTCTTAGTCCATAGCCTTCTAAACATTGAAACACCAATATATAAAGGTGATTCATGCAACAGTAAGGAAATACTAACCACAAAACTAGGAATATAAGTTTGTTTTAAAAGTTCAGATTTAACACATACTATACGACCTTCAGTTGCTTCTCCCAGCAGACCACCAAATGTGATGACAGGAGACATGCAAGCACAGTAGAGAAACAAAAATGATGCCAGACACTGCAAACTGAGAGCATCCCTGAAGTCACTCCAGAAGAAGGGAGCTTTTCTTTTGATATCTAATATTAATCCTCCAAAAAATCTAAAGAAAACACAGAAGAGCTCAAATTAATTAAGGTAGCACACAGAACTTTCTTCTACAGTATTGCTTCAACCACACTGCAGAGAAGCTATGGGTCCTTGATCAAATGATACATACTCTTATGTTTCACCCTTCATAAAAAGATAAGTTGATAGGAAACCTGTCATTGTCACTTCAACCATGAAATTATTGTGGTTTTAAAACAAATTAATTTCCATGTCTCTTTTATAAATTCTTCAACTAATCATCCAGACACCAAAGTTGTGAACAGTTGCTTGTCCCCATGCACTAAATCAAACTGCCTATTATATAAAATAATTCTTTACATTTGTTTAATCAGAGAGTTCCTATTTGCCCACACATTCATATATAGAACTTCACATTCTTTATTTGACAACCTGTTCCTAAATACACTTGATGATAAAAATGAATATACGCTACCATTTTTCAAGGACAAGAACTGTCATCTTTAGTCATTTACACTGTGTCAAGTATAATCAAATATTTAGGAACAGACGGTCCCTTACAAAATACTATACAGCTAAAGTAAATAACCCCACAATGCTCTTTTCCTCACAGGCACACAATGTATCAGATGCTGCTGAGGTAAAGAAGGTGTAGTGCAACTACCTCCTAAATATTAAAACAATCTTTCAAGCTGTCAATTGGCAGATTCTCTGGTGAGTGAACAACTTCCAGCCAGACTGACCATCACCTCCCCTGCTCCGGTGTACACCAGCACTACAGCTGAATTTTTAGCTTCATGCTAAAGGTAGGAACAATATTTAAATATCAGGAGGCAGCAAAGTAAAAGAAACATCTATATATAACAACTACACTGCATTAAAACAGCCACTGACAGCTGATGCACTTACACCACACCATATTAGATGAGAGAAAACAAGTATTCCTTGGGGAAAATTCTTCATTCTGTATACTGCAGCCACCAGGGTAACCACAGCCTCATGTGGACATATCATGGCTTACTGTGGTAAAAAAAGAAATGCTAGAGCTGCACAACCCAGAAACTTCAACTACAAGACAGCTGAAAGTATTCATAATATGCTGCACAACACTATACCAAGTTCTCCTTCATCCTATGCAAAACCAAGAAACATTAATCAAGTTTAAGAAAGGTCTGGCCTTGTAAATATTAGAGAAAGGAGCTTGCAATAAATACAATGAGAAAACTCAAACCCTCTTGCCCTCTCCTGCTCTGTGCAAACGAGTACGTGTTGTCCTCCTCAGCTACAGGGCACATGCAAATCAGGACAAATGCCTGAAAAAAATCATGCACCAAAACACTTCTGAGAGAACCAGACCCTTGTGATTCCTTTGACCATCACTATGAACAGTTTGAATATGTTTTCACTAACTTTCCAGTGCGTTGCAGTTCTGGTCCAGAGTGTCCCCCAGGATGTTCTGCTTCCCCATGGGCTGCAGTTCCATTTGGAACTCCTGGGATCTTGCGCTTCTCCTACCAGAAGGAAAATATATTTCTCGTGGGTTTTAGTACCGAAATAGGCTCTGAAAGTTAAAAGCTTAAACATAAAAATTTCATTTTAAAATTCATCACCATAACCTCCTCATAAGCTGTAAAGGAGTTCTCTTACCAGTTGAAATTTAAACAACTGATCATGAAAAATCTTGTATCAGAAAACATTTTACAGAGTAACAAGCCTGGATCAATTCCTGCAATAAGCTTAGGACAAAAGCAAATTATCAGGACAAAAGCATGGCTATTTGGAATAATCAAGGATGTTGAAGACCACTTATCCCTGAATCTAGTATCTTTAGATAGAACTGCCTGTATTTACTCAGGAGAGAACTAGTATTGAACTTAACCAAATGTCATTGCTATACTGTATGCTTGTAAGTCAAGGGTTCTTCTAGAGAAAATTAACCCAAAATAAAAAGAGCACTATGCAAAACATAGTGACTCTGCTAAATGCTAAATAAATGAGACTTAAATCTACATAATAAAAATTCATCACAACTCTTAAAAGTGTCTGAATTTTACTCTGTACAAACCTGAGACGGAACATTTTTAGGTGGTTCTATTCGAATTGTTGGGTCCCACTCTCCAGGAGGGAGAACAGTAACCTGATCAAGAAACTCATCAATTCCAGACACCAAGTCATTGCGGTCCTTTGCTTTGTAAGCAACATCATGGAATACCTGTGAAAAATTAAGAAGTGTGTGTGGGAGGAAAGAGAGATGGAAAAAGGAACTCTCTCTAAAATAATGGCCCCACTTCTCTGAAACAGAACACACTTTGTAAAGTTCCCACTGAGCAAACAATCTCAGCTTCAACTGAAAATAACTTTGGGTATATAGTTCTCATAGAAATTCCAGCTGCTACAGAAAAAGATCCTTATGGATGCTAAATATTCTAGAGATTTTGCAGTTTAAACAAAATTAAATCCACTGGAGAGCAACTGTGTAAAATGGAACCTTATTGGTGAAGACATCTTTGCTTATGAATATTGTTTCTCATTTTGTTATCCCCTTACAGCAGCATAATCTGGGCTGTCACAGGATCATGAAACGAGCTAGAATACTTCTTGTCATCACCAGAATGATTAGCCACATTTCATCTGAAAGATTGGAGATTCCCTATTACACCTCTTCAGTCAGTACAAAACTGAACCATGAATAAAAATACCTCATCTGTCATTAGTGTTGCGATTGATCTTCCAATCTCATGGTATTGTTGGCCTTTACCCAGTGGTCCAAGAAGAATAAACAAAAATCTGCAAGTTAAAAGCAGATTTGATAAATCGTAAAGCATAAATGGTTGGAATTAATATAAATATTACAGAACTATTTATCTAAAATGTGCACTAGAAGAATCTCTCAGATAAACACTATATATAATCTCCTTCAAGATCCTCACACATGCATTTAAACATGAAGCTTTGCTTAGAAAAAGAATGTGAAAATAGCTTCCAAAAATATATCATAAGCTTAACAGTCAGTCTTGATTGAGGCTACCAAAACCACCTTACATAACAAACCTTAACTTACATAATAAATGCATGCAATTCTAATCTACATACAGAACACATTAATTCATTTAATTTTGTTAATTCAACAAAATGGTTATGGTTACATAAATTACTGCAATATTGGAGAAGTTAAATTAACCCAAATAAAAATAACTTTTAAATAATTTTTACTCCCATTATGGCTCTGGATAGTCTCTACTTGAGGCTGTAGGCAAGTAAAGCTCTACAAAAGGCAGAGGATTTGTTCAAATGAAATAACTAAAATTCTCAGTTTTGCTAAAATGCAAAAGACACAAAAGACAATATTTTGATGTGTATTGCTGTTTTGGTTTTGTTTGTTTGTTTGTTTTTTTGGGGTTTTTTTGCATACAAATTTTTTGCAGAAACGTTTAATTGTCCTAATTTGTAGCTATTTTTATTTTGACCAAAAATCGATAAATCTGTTATTTTCCTTTTGGTGTTTCTTTTTCTTGTGGGAATCTGGGGCAAATTAAAAGGAAAAGCTTTTTCCAAAGCAAATTCACTCCCTCAATGTTTCTTATACACATGCAAAAACTAGAAAACATCAAAAAAGTAATATCCAAAGTAACTACAAAGTACAGCTCAAAGAAAATGTTTATCTGGTTAGAAGAAAGGATCTGAGTCTCAGCATTGCATTTCATAGCATAACATGGGTGTCATATGTGAGTGTCCTGAGTATCACAAACTGGAATACATTACTGCCTACTGTTGGAACTCTACTTTCACAGAAACTAAAAGAGGGAAGGGGAAAGAAAGACAGAATATGTGTACAAACATATGCATAAATTAATTTTAAAGAGATGGGGGGGGATTCTGCAATAATATTTAAGTCACTGAACACAGATATGGGAGAATCGCTTTGGAGTTTTGATCTGAACTAACCTCAGCAGGACACAATGTAACCACAGATCTATCCCAACGACTTCTACTTGAATACAATGTCTATTTTAGACTTTTTTTTTTAAATTCCTCTTTTTTTTTTTTTTTTTCCAGAATAAAAGTACTCCATCAGAAGAAGTTTCAACTTGGAAAAAAATTAATCTAAAACAAATTTATGGTTAAAAGTCACATTCTGTACCATGCAAAGTAAATTTCTGAAGAAGTAATATTTTTGAAGAATATATTTACAGCATGTTCTCCATCCATTCACTCACTATCCCTAGTCAACCAAATCACACACTTTGCTTTTTTCCTTTTCTCAATTCCATCTTCATTTTTTTTTTTTAGTTCTGTACATAATTATGCAGTATCACACAAGTAGTTTCAGTTCTAGATGAAATATTCTACAAAGCTGAATATTTCACCTTAGTGAAATATTTCATCTGGAGTAATACCAGTTTGTATAGGATAAACTGTGTATTATAACCTACATTTCTACATCTGTGAAGTACTCAAAACTAGCACGTGTCTGAATATACCCACACATCATTTACAGCAGGAGTGGCAGGCCGAGAGATGTCTTTGTAAAAGAGCAAACCAAATCCCTCACTCAGTAAATGGCAAAGCCGAGGGTCCCATCAGCCTGTCTCCCCACAAGGTACTCAGGAAAACACGAAGCAAAATCAGCCCAACTGTACCTGGTTGGAATTGGAACTTCAGCCAGTCCTGTAAGCAGCACTGCAGGAGACAACCTAACAAAAGCCACCACAGCACGGTCCAGGAACTCGAGTTCACCAACTAAGATGTTTGATGCTTCAGCTCCAGGTGGTATCTTTTTCATGAAGTGTAGGTCAACCTGGGGAAAGTATATTAAATTACAGCCTAAAAGTTACTCACAGGGAATTTTTTTTCCCCTGCTTTGTTGACAGACACTTGCTGATTGCTGCACTATAACTTTGGGTATTTCAGTTATACAGTTCTACTGTTCTTGTCTGTTGAGTATTTTTCCTTAAATAAAAATGTTTCTCTAAACCAAACTAGACAATAATTATTTGACTGATTTTTCTTGGAAACAAAGCATCGCAGAATTAATTTATTAAGAGAACAACTCAAATTCAAAACATTTTAAGAATATCGGACTAATTTCCTAGTAATGCTTTTTATCTATACTCATAAGAGTATGAATAATTAAAATCAATCGTAACAGTATAAGAAATTAAGACAGCTTATTTTTCCATAATTAACAATTCTGGAAATCAGTAATTTGTAGTTCATAGTTGTTGAGTTATTATCTCACTGAGAAGAACACTAGATTCCAGTACACACAATTTTCCTGTTTTTTCTCTGAGATGCATTTTTGTTTTCAGATTTAATGGAAGAGAGTTGCCCTACTGCTGAAAGTAACAGAAAATAAGCTATTATGAGCATTGACAGTCTCAAGAGCAAATGGAAAGAACAAAGCAGAAGAAAACTCTGGAATTTTAGGCAGCGATGTGGACTTTTGCAGGTTGATAAACAGAGACACAGTTTCATCAGGACATTGCTATTATAGGCTCAAGGTATTTGTGTAGGATTGTATGACTCTAGGCTTTACTCTGTAACAAAGATTGACATGGAGTAATAAAGTATATAATGTATGTCTGATTTAATTATGCACCAGTATTGTCTACATTTCAAAATGCATGAATTTTGTCATTTGCTTTCCTTTTATTAATCTAAACACAACAACAGCAACCAAATCCAATATAAACTGTTAAAGTGGACCATTTTAATGTCTATCTTACAGCCATCTGTCAGTACTAGTTTGCATAGTTTTTGGTAATATTTAGAAAATTGTTTTCTTGCAAATGGCTCTGGCACTAAATCAGAATTCAGATATAACACAGTTGCCTGTGTAATGAATCTTGGTTTGCTGAGATCACAAAGAGATATCTAATGCTTCCCTAAGAGACTAAATATCTCACTAAGTTAGGCAAGAACCAGAACAACCTGGAAGGTTGGAGACCAAGTACTTTTCAAGGTAAATTGAGAAAGTGAGGTAAATTCTATTCCCCATTCAAATCACAAAATAACTCTTTCGGATTAAATGCATAACTAAGGTTCAACTGGCATTCAGAACCAGTCAGTTGCTTCATATGGTATTTGAAAGACCAAACTGTATCAGTGTGGGCAGGGGTTTGTCTCAGAAATACAGAGCACAGGAATGTTGCTGTGAGAAGGGATTTGGGTACAGCCTCTTTATACATTTTGTGTCTCAGGGCAATTAATGTTCCCTTCAGTCTTTGGCATAAAAGGTAGAAGTGAGCCAGCTGAAGCTCTTAAACCACTACCCCCATTCTGCTCAGACAAGGGGTAAAGTGGTGCTGTGACAAATCACCTCCACATCAACCTGAGAACACCAAGTCCTGGTGGTGGCAGCAGAGGAAGAGGAGTGACACATTTACAGCACAAACCATCTCTCTATGCTACTGAAGTAATACTCAAGACAGCCTTTAGTGCCTGTCTCACATTTTTCATAGATAGGTACCAATACAATCAACACAGTCTCAATGCTGTATCCAGATTAAGTCAGCTTTTTGAATCAACTCCAAATTTGGAATATTAGATGTAGCCCAAGGGAGACAGATTAGCAAGGAGAGAATATGTAGGGTAGTCAAAGGTGCTTTTTTTGTAGAAGATAAATGAATTTAATATCTGGAACAAAATTAGAGCAAGAAATCACAATACTCAAGAGAAAATTAGTGTACTGCTCTACTTTCCTCTCAATCTGTGCATATAATTCCAATTATAACCATTGGGAGTTATTGCAATAGCATGTTTCAAGGGGAAACGGCACTTTTGCATCTTCAAAAGGATAAATGGATCTATTTAAAGTCAGTCAAAAAGAAAGGTATTAGATTACAATCCTTTACTGTTATTTCATTCCTCCTAACAAAAGTTGATCCTTTCATATGCCTGACATCCTTGTTGGTATCCATCACTGTTGAGGTTAGAAAAAGATGAAATGTTGATTTATTCCAGCTAGTTTAAATGGGAATAGCTCTTTTGATCAGCAAAGCTTCAGCACTACAAAAATAATGAGTGAAGGATCAAATGATACAGCTTCTATTCTTGCTTAATACAAATAGAATTGCAGTTAGACAACTGCCTGGGATTTGGATCCTACAGCACTCAAAGCAACTGGAGAAACATTCAAGAAAAGGACTACTGAAACTTAAGTAATTCCCTTCACTTCTGCATAGCTTAATTTTGAATAGATAATTTTATTCATATTTTATATCCTTTATGAATTTTACATCTTGATATTAGAACACTTGCAAAAACAATTAGTTTTACTTAAGACTTTACTTTTTAAAGCATTATAATTTTAGTTTGAGGTATGTTTAAAGGATTAATTTTAAATTTTTAACAACCTGCCACTGTTTATAGATGCACTTGCAGCCTCTGTAGAAATGTGCTTCATAATACATTCCCAGCCAGCCTCCTTTTTTCTCATTGTCATCGAAAGAAAGCTCTGTTTCCCCTCTTATTTCAGCCATAGACAATTCATAGTCTGGAATGTTCAGTCAGAAATTCAAATGATGCAAATAGCTACTGCTGCTAGGAAATAAGTCTGGCACCAGATGGAGCAATCACATAACTCTACTTTTAGCTCAGCTGCACTAACATTAAAATTCAACAGACTCAAAGTGCTGTTCTTCAGAATTTTGGTTTGAATCACCTTTCTTCACTTACTCAACCTTTGTTGCACTAATGTGTCAGCTGAAGTCATCTATCCCTGTCAGGCCTGTCATCTGTATCCATTGTGACTGTCTTAGGTACACACAGACTTCTTACACAAATTAGGATTCTCCTTCACATTAAAGCTGGAAAGCTGCTTGCTTTTCTTTGCTATCTAACATTGAACTGTCATTGCAATCTCCACTACTGAGCAGTTAACATCTTTTGTAAAGTGTACTGAAAGATCTTGGCTTGCAGAAGAATTAAGTTATAGGTTTACAGAAACACATTCTGTTTGAGACATCTGGAATCCACGAGTTCAGGTTAAAAAAAGCATCATTTGCATTCATGCATCACTTCTACAGAAAGTAAAAATCTGAGGTAAATGTGAATTATAGGAATTTGAAATTATTTTTCTACTTAGAAAATTTTCTGTTAACTTGTAAAATTTCCCCTACAAATACACACCTATGACATTAAATTTATCTGTACTCCTAAACTCTGTTTTCCTCTTACATATAATTTAGAAAGAAAATGCAAGATTCTGTTTTATCATACAGAAACTGCACTGCAGTGCACACAAAAATTCAACGCTAAAGTAAAATCTACGTTACTGACTTCTCCTGACTCACATGGATTCATTTTACTTAATTTTAAATATCTATTTGATAGTCAGGAAGCTGTCTTCACCATCAGTGAACACTTACCTTGCTGAAGTCAACAGTGCTGTTTTCTCTGCTCACATCATTTTTGTTTTCAATACAGGCTGGAGTAGCCTGTGGGGAAACAACCTGACCTGCTAAAAAAAGTATCATTATTACAGAATACTAAAAGTTCTATAAATAAAGCAACATCCAGTGACACAATTATAAGAGCTCTACATACATTTCATATCATAGATATATGATCCACCCAGACATGTCATTTGAATTAAAAACTTATTTAGAATAGCAAATTCTCAAAAGACAGAACATTCATCATGTGCAGTTAGGAACATGACAAGGCAATTTAGAAAATATAAAATATACTGTTAGATATTAGAAGACAAAATTTCTATACCAATCAAAGCATACAATTCTAAAGATATACATTTGGGGACAGTCCTGCCTTCACATAGTTTTTGTAAATAATTTGAGGAGCTGCCAATTTTGGGTAATATCTGTCTACAAAAGTAATCCTCATTGACTTAAATAGGATTGCAAATTTTTACAAAGTTACTCATGTGTATAAGTATGTCATGATTATAAAAACTACAAAACACAACGTAAAAGTGAACTGGTATAAAAACAAATATATTGTAAAAATAACTGATTTATAAGCTCAGTATTGAAAAATGTGATTACAGACATGAATAAAACAAATGTTTCAGTACACACATTTTCAAAAAAATTCCAGTGAGGATTTAGTAAAATATTTTAAAGACATTTTAAAAACATCTCAAGATGAGAAATGTTTAAATACACCTCAGTCTTGTGGAAACAAAGAACAAGTCTTTTAACAAACAGAATTTTGCCAACAAAAGCTCAAAAAGAAAAAATGAAGTCAAGTAACAAGTTTATGTCATATAAAGCATATTTTTACTTAAAGCCAGCATTCCCCCAGCACATGGCCAGAGCCCACCATGCATACTGTGTGGGGCTGGTACAATGGCACAAACTCCACAGGGCACAAACCCCACAGGGGCACTGGCCATGCCCTGCCTGCCTTCACTATTTCTCCCTCTCTGGCATGTCAGAAGCCACACACAGCTCCGAACACCACAATAAAGTACAAGAGAAAGTACCAAAATATGAGCCAGCTATCTCTTACTGCCCTAACACATACCCAGGAATAACTACGGAGTCCAACTGGCCCAGAGTCAGCATCTCGTGCCCAGCATATATTTGTTTCCATAGCGAATAAAGTCTCTCATATGACTGAGAAATGATGATGTGAAAACATTGGTTCTGGTGAAAATCAACCTAAACTTGCACAGTAACAAAGACCATATGTTCATGATATTTGAAGCTGAAGACAGTCAGGAAGTCCTAAGCTAGGCACATTGTCTGGGCAATTCCAGGAGCCACAGCCTGCCCCTCACCCTGCTGGGACTCACACCTGCAGCCCAGGCACGTCCCCATCCACAGCCTGCACTGAGCACTTGCAGGATCCAGCCTGAACAGGACCAGACACTCGCAAGAGCACCTCAGCCACTGCCAAAATGCTGAAGTATCCAGTTTCTGTCACAGCTGAGCAATACAGGAACCCTAAGTCTGGTCATGAATTCCCAGCTGAAACACTTGCTCAAGGAAAATGCTGGTTTTCATGAAAATCAACATGTCATTTGCCACCAGACAAATCTTCCATGACACAAAACAGGCTTTAGACTCATGTGTGCATCCTGGCAGCACAGACAGAGATATTGCACCTTGATTAGGTAGTACATTAAAAGAATGCTTAAAAATATATTTCTAGAAATCCTATCTTTACACGGCAAGTATTTCCATTTTTCTCTCTGATTCAGGGCAAGGACAGATCAAAATAAGAATAGAAATCAGGGCTTTTGTTCAGCTCTACAGTGAAATAAACAGAGAATGACAAGCAGACATGACAAGCATGTAAATCTAAGCAAGCAGAATACAAATAAAGTCAGGCTTCAAATTTACATGTGACAAAAATAAAGGATTGATTTTAGAAACACACATATTAATGTAAATTACAGGAATTAATATAAAAAGAGGCTACTAATTCCTATATGTCACAGAAGAAAACTTTTGCAAAACAGAACCCAGAAATTATTACATATGCAAGGTATTTACAAACAGTCATTATTCAATTTGTCGGTTTTAATTAGAACTGAAAGAAAAATGGAGTTCCATCATTGTTACACCATCTTTACAATATGTATTCCAGTGCACTACTTCACACTGTAATTCTTTTTCTGTATTGTTTACTTAGCAGTCCTCGAATTATTTTCACAGGAATCATCCTGTAGTATTACAGGTATTAAAATCATTAATATAAAAATTATTAAAAATTTATGTTCTATTTTGGGTATTTTATTAATGTGACAAAAATAACCCTTCTACTTATGCAAATAGAGAAAGTTTCTGTCTTAACTTACTCCCAAAAAATTAAAATCTAGTAATATAAAACCTGCTGACTCTTCATCTTTTCCTTTTAAACACTTCTCTATACTGTGGATGTATAAAAAGTGAAATAGTTGTAATAATTACTCATACTAATATACATATTACATTAGAAAGATGCTACAGGAAAGTAACAGAAATAGTAGTTCATCATCTTTCTCTTGCTAATTAGGCATTTGCACTTTTTTTTTTCTGGACCCAAAAATTCAAGAAAATGAGACCAGAAATATCTGCCAGAGAAAAATATATTGACCAACAAAGGAGTCAAAGCATGGACCCCCTGTTTAAATACTGAAGTTTTAACATCATAATTGGAGGTGTCAAAAGCAATCAGCACAACAGCCCAGAGGACTTTTAAACCTTGTGTCCACTTTGCTTTTAGGAGAAAAATATGTAAAGATATACATATAAGGGATAAAAAGCCACCACCAGTAAGTATGTGAAGTTTTTAAGAATAGCATATGTTCTTTTTCTGTGCCAACAGAAGACCTCAAACTTTGATTTACCCATATGCTGGAGTAATCTGAAAGAACACAAGTTTTACCTTGAGGCAGAAAGACATGTTTAAATAGATCTACAACTTCGGACAGCTTTCTGGAGCATGGAACAACAAGTTTGCATTTTTTACTTTTTTACTGTATTAAGTAACAAGCAAAGATACATGGTAGAGACAACAGGTAATCTCTTTTCACAAAAAAAAAAACAACAACAACAACAAAAAAAAAAAAACCAAACAAAAAAACCTCAAAGTAACACCAAACCCAAGGCAGATTTTAAACATTTGTCATGGTTGTTTTTTTGTTTTGTTTTGGTTTTTTTTTTTCTTTTTTTGAGCTGAAATTATGAGGTTTAGGCTGCTACAAATGGTGAAGGCATAAGCTATCAACTCCCTACAAGAGGCAATAAGAGCAGCAACAGTCTCACCATTCCACGCTCTCCTGTTCTCTCCTCAGCAGCTCCATTTCAGCACTCCAAGCAAAATGGTTATTTACACATTGTATGGGGTAAATACAGAATCTTATTCTTCAAGAGTGCAATGTAATACTTTTACTCACTAGACAGCTGAAGCCTCAATTTATCCTCCAGGCCACCTACATAAAGCATGTGAAAAGCTGCATTCTTCAAGAATGCATCAGAGCCACTCACACAGTTTTAGGAATTAAATGCATAATGTGGCACAATTGAAATATCCAGGGTACATAGAAAGGAACTTAATACATAACAAATAAAACCATATAATTGGTGTAACAACTTTCCTATGTAATAAAAAGCAAATATCAGCACAGTCTTAAACCTTTGTTTTAAAAAATTGGCAGTATCTCTAAAAAAGTATCTTTTTTAGATAATGTGAAATTGCCAGAGCTTTGAGTAGGGCAAGAATTCACACAAATATCACTCTTTCATGCAAAGTCAAGCCACTAATAAATCAAAATACAGTCCACATTTGTTACAGAAACAGAAGTTTGCATTTGCAGATACAATTTGCCATTTTTGAGACAGTCAGTCCTGGCAAAATAAAAAAAAAAAATAATCCCAGTAAATTAATGTCACATGTAACATATTCTTCCTCCCTAAAATGTAGAACTGAAGACATTTAACTATGTGCATTGTGGTTGTTCAAAATCCAAGATGCCTCTGGAACATCAATGACAAAAACGCAGAACAACGTAGTCAGACACAAATCACAGTTAATGGAAACAAACTGGATGCAACCAACACATCAAAGGAAAGTAAACCAGAAAAGAAGTTGCTTATTTTTCTAAACCATACATATTAGTTCCCATTCAGAAAAAAAAAAAATCCTCATTTTCAAACTTCTTCAATCTTCAGACTTTTCACTGCAACTAGTCACCAATTGTCCAAATCTAAATGAACAACACTGTCCAATTCAAAGATTGAAAAACAATATGTTTTCTTCAGTATATGATAAAATTCTTATATAACAGAGCATTGACAGCATCTCTGCAGGCTGAATTGCATGTGTGCATTGATGAACAACTTTTTTAATCGGTGGGGAATCATGTCACTCCTGTTGCACCTCTATAACTACAGGGAGATTTGGTGTTCACTAATGATATAAAAATTTAAGAGGATGAGAAAGAAGCCACTTTAGCTGTTTTTCTAATGCTAGGCCTGAATATCTCAAGCATAATTCACATGAAGTCGTGCAGTCTAAACAAAAATGCTGTGATTTGCAGTTTTATAAATTGATGCAAGAAAATGAACTTAATAAAGAAATGGCACTGTCCCCCCACCAAAACAACAAATTCCACACAAACTTCTCTTCAGTGTGCTACAGCTGTGGACAAAGGCCTGAGGTATCTTTTTAAATCACTATAGCAAGAAGTTGCATGCTGACAGGAAATTGATATGAAGATATGGGTGTACATTTGCAATGATCTGAAGCCCAAGCAAGAATAGGTATTTATACTACCTCTGAACCTTCAGGGAGTTTACAGAACCCAAAGGATAGGAGATGAGGAAGGTACAGAGATGAGATGAGCCTGTTAGAGACAGATACAACAAAGACAGAGCAAATAAAGAAATACAAAGATGAATGATACAGTTTTATACATACAGATTACACATTTTATCATGGGTACAAGGAAATGTAGAGAAAGAAAGAATAAATATCAGATGAAAATGTTCATAAATACAAGTTATATTTTAG